TTGGGGAATGCCAGCCCTGCTTTAGCCGGCAGGGGGGAATCTCGGGGGGGGGGGCAATTGCCCCGTTGCCCCCCCCCTGATCCGCCAATGAGTCAGAGTGGCCCCCTAAGAAGGGGGCGGGGTCAGAGAGGGTGTGTTTTGTCATCACTAATGACAAGCACGCCCCCTCTCAAAGTGAGCATGTTGGTTCAATGCACAGAGCCCTGCTGAAGAGCTCTGGCATTAAAAAAAGGTCATGAATTTGTTCTGCGCAGCACAAGCAAATTTAATAACATGCTTGTGCTGTGTTTGCTTTTAAATTGTCTCTGGTGTCTCCACAAGTGGGATACCAGAGGACAAAAGGGCCAGGAAAGTGTATGGTGCATGTGTTTGGAGCCTGCTTGTGGGATTGCGTGTGTGTAATGTGTGGTGTGGTATTGTGTAAATAGGTCAGTTTAATTTGTGTTTGTGGTGTAATATGCGTGGCTAGGGGCTGTAGAGAGTGTGTGTATAGGGGGCATAGTGTTATAGGGGATGTAGCGAGTGTGTGCATACGGGCTGTAGTGTGTGTGAATATGTGACGTAGTGTGTGTAGGGGTTGTAGAGAAGGTGTGTTCAGAGAATGTTGTATGTGTTTGCTGACAAGGAATGTAGTGTGTGTAGGTGGTGCAGTGTGTGTGTGTAGGAGATCTAGTGTGTAAAGGACCCAGAGTGTGTGTGTGTAGAGGATTAAGAGTGCGTATAGGGTAAGGGATCTAGCGTGTATCTGGAGTGTAATGTGTGTAGTGTCAGGGGTGCTGTAGTGTGTGTGTATATATATATATTTATATTTATTTGGACGTATTGTATGTGTGAGGGGCTAGAGTTCACTCTCGCGAGATCTGAGCATTGCTGTGGTAACCGCGGCAACACTCAGAATCCCGCAAGAGGACCCGGCGGAGCTGCTGGTCCTCTCCTGCCTCTCTCACTCCCTCCCATCTGCGGCCACCTGTAACAGTGCCTGTGGGCCGGTGAGGGGGATCTTTGATCTCCCCACCGGCCCATGAAGGCACACAGCAGGGCTGGCACTCGGGTTGTGCTGGCCCTGCAGGGGTTCCCTGCCGGCCTCGGCCCCGCGGCCATCGCGGCCCACCGGGCATTTGCCGCTGTATGTGTGTAGGTGCTGTGTGTGTGTGTGTGTGCTGTATGTGTGTGTGTGTATGTGGGTACTGTATGTGTGAGGGTGCTGTATGTGTGTGTGTGTGGGGGTGCTGTGTGTGTGTGGGTGCTGTATGTGTGTGGGTGCTGTGTATGTGTGTGTGGGTGCTGTGTGTGTGTGGGGGTGCAGTGTGTGTGGGGGTACTGTGTGTGTGTGGGTGCTGTGTGTGTGTGGGTGCTGTATGTGTGTGGGTGCTGTGTATGTGTGTGTGTGTGTGTGTGTGTGCTGTGTGTGTGTATGTGTGTGTGTGCTGTGTGTGTATGTGCTATATGTTTGGGTGATTTGTGGGGGTGGAGGTGGGGGCAGATTACTTAATATCCCCCCTCCCTTCTTACCTTATGTAGGGAGGGGGGATCCTTGCTGCCATCCATTCCCTGGTGGTCCAGTGGAGAGTGAACTCTAGCCTGCGGGGCTAGAGTTCACTCTCACGAGATCTGAGCGTTGCCGCGGCAACGCTCAGATCTTGCAAGAGGAACCCAGCGGAGCTGCTGGCTAGAGCTCCCCGGGTCCTCTCCTGCCTCCCTCCCTGCATGTGGGCCGGTGAGGTAGATCTGTGATCTCCCCACTGGCCCATGGGGGCTTAGAGTAGAGCCGGCGATCGGATAGCGCCGGCTCTGCATGAGCCGACAGGGGAGATCCTGAGATTTCCCCTGACGGTCTCACTCCATGCACACCCCGTGCGGCACACCCAGTGGTGTATCCTGGTTTTGTGCTGCCCTAGGCAGGACAAAACTCAGGCGCCCCCTAATCCCCCACCGCGTGCGCGCGACCCCCACCCATCCCTTCCCCCCGCCCCGCCTTCTAAATACACACACTCACTAGCAGACACACACACTCACTAGCAGACACACACACTAGCAGACACACACACTCACAGGCAAACACACTAACAGTCAGACACACACACTCACTAACACACACACACACTCAATCACAGACACACACACTCACTAACAGACACACTCACTAACAGACACACTCACTCACTAACAGACACACTCACACACTCACTCACATTAACACTTATTTTTTTTAAACCCCCCCTCCAGCCTCCTTACCTTTGGGAATGCTGGGGGGGGGTCCTTTCTCCCTGGGGGTCCAGTGGCTGCTGGGCGGGCGGCTGGCGAGGGAGCTCTTCCTCTGAGCTGTCTGCTCAGCTCCCTCGCGCGCCGCAGAGTGAGGCTGGGAGCCGGCATATGACGTCATATTCCAGCTCCCAGCCTCACTCTGCGGCGCGCAAGGGAGCTGAGCAGACCGCTCAGAGGAAGAGCTCCCTCACCAGCCGGCCGCCCAGAGCCCAGCATGTCTGTTAGCCGCAAGGCTAACTAGGCATTTGCCCTGGGCATTTGGGGGGTGGCTTTTTTTGCCGCCCCCTGGAAAATGCCGCCCAAGGCAAATGCCTTGTTTGCCTTGCGGCTAATACGTCCCTGGGTACACCCCGTGCGCATGCCTATGAATTGTTTACATAATTACATAGTTAGATATCTGAAAAGAGACTTGCGTCCATCAAGTTCAGCCTTCCTCACATAGGTTTTTGCTGTTGATCCAAAAGAAGACAAAAAAAAACAGTATAGTAATCTATATAGTTTCTACTTTATCTCATGTTATATCTCTTACTGAAATATTTTCATTTTAATTGCTTCTCTTTTGTAATATTAATAGGATCAAAACAATAAAATTTAATGTAGAGAAAAATAAAATGTTTGGTACACAATGAATGGTGGTGTGCATGCTTCTGGGTGCAAGCTAAATGGTGATTGTATAAATAACCCTTTAAAAGCATATAGGCTTTAAATGGATAGATCTGGTTATAGAGCACCCTTTTACTCATCTCTGTGAGTTTTCTAATAAAAAGTAATTTGGAATGCATCGGCATCATCATTATTAGAGGCTCCCTATACACTGTCATATTGGAGGTGTAGTGAGTGAAAGTCTAACAGCTGAGCAACGCTCCGTTGCAAAAAAAATCAGAGTAAAGTGACACTCCAAGTATTATAACTTGGTATTTGTCTCTTGCATAAGTTTTGGTGCAAGGAACTCTGTTTCTACCTGCATATTATAACTGTAGACATTTGATTCCCCTTAAGAGTACAAGTTTGGTGTGTGCATAGGCTATGCTCGTGTTATAAAAAATTCAGAAGCACTCTGCAAAATCACTAATGCTTTCTCAGTACACTATCCAGAGTATACCTCAATGGCAACAGTTTTAACCATTATATAAACATTGTATCAATTGTTAGCCCTTATCCAGGATATTATACCAGGGTGGTCCGACCCCACATTCAGAAGTGAATCACAAAATAAAAATCAGACGTCCCATAATTAAAGAAATACTGTTGTTAAGTCATAAAACTATTTTCTTCTTCATTCCAAACTCTTTAAAAAAAAAAACATCACATTGTCAAAACTCGCTAAACAGTATAGTGGCTATAGAATCACACAGAGATACCACATAGATGGAGGAACACAGTGCACTGGAAAGCAACACATTTCGTATTAAACGTACTTCTTTGAGAATACTTGTGTTGTGTCATAGTACCCACTACCTCTGAGAGCAGAACTACTAAACTCCAGGGCTCTAATGAAGCCCTGTCATCTTCTGGGTGTAACCGAGTAAATTTGCAGAAGCCAGACACAGAGAGATGGTTGCAGGTTTTCAGGAAGTAAGAGGTCTTTATTAACATACCGATCGGGCCTCAGATGACCTAACGTTCCAAAACAGGTCTGAGGGCCGAACACATGGAGTACATGCTTTTTATAGAACTATAACTCCTCCTATTAATAGCTCCACCCGCACATACCCTTAACCAATCAGTGGACAGGATTTGGATTTCCTTATATGGGCAGACCACATGGCTCATCCGAAACAAAGGAGAAAGGAGTGTAATTTCAGTTCCTGCATTCCTGCACATGCTCAGTACATTGATGACAGTATCTTAGCTATGTGTAACTAACTTACTGATACAACATACACATATGCCACGTGGAAATCTTGGCCTACTAAATTTAAATTTCACCAAAATTCCATCACATGGGGTTTTTCATATTTTACAAAGACCCCTGTTGACAACATAACCGCTTGATGTGCGGTGGCATGGGCGTGCAGAGCAGGTGAGTTATGCAGGCTCTGAAACTGCTATGTTTACAGCAGGCAGGGTTAACCCTAGATGGACCTGGCACCCAGACCACTTAATTGAACTGAAGTGGTCTGGGTGCCTATAATGGTCCTTTAAGAGACACACAAGGGGTTGAGGAATTTCTGAAAAGACATCAAAGGGCATAACACAACTTACAACTGCAGAGGTGCAGGGTACTAACACACAGTTCCACCCCAGGTGCCAAATTACCATCAGATAACCTAGGCATGCCTGTTGTTCTGGTATTGTGATGAACCTGCTAACCAACTAACTGGTCGCCATTATGATCCTCAAAAAGTTGAACTAGCTGTCTGCATGGCATTTTTTTTTTTTTTTAAAACAACTTTATAAATTATTTTGTGTAATATACTTCAATCATCTTCTAAGCCACATTTTGTTTCCATTTATATACATAACTAAAACCCTCTTTGGAATGTTGGGAAATATAGTTTAATTCCAGCAATGGATCCCAAACCCCAAACTGTACAACTAATGTATAACTATTGAAGCTCCTCTGGCAGCTCGAATACATTGCTATTTGTAACAAATGAGAATTCCTTGTTGTCAAACGGTTGATTCTCCACACAAATAACAGCAGGTGCCCTGAAATAGCACAAATTCTGGCTGCGCCATCTAGCGGTTAAAGGATAAACTGCACCCATTGATGTACTCTACGCTCGTTACAACTTCACCCGCCGGGGCAGCGCCCCCTCCTCACGTCACCAGACTCAGAGCCGCTTGCCTCCCATTGTGACGTAGGCCGGCCTCTTACTCTGCAGGTCTACTAGTGATCAGCAGAGCGCTGAGCGGCAGCAGCGCCGAGCCGGATACCCTGGACAGCTCTCAGTGTGCTTGGTGGCCGTACCGTGAGATTCCCCCCCTCTATCTGCTGCAGGCATGGTGAGTACATGGGGAGAGCACATCCCAGCCTTGGGTTTCATTCATTATTGTAACTGTGTGCCTTCCTGCAGCTATCCTGTGCATTGCAAAGGATGGGGACACTGTCAGCATCACTGGGATACCCTATAGAGAGCTGGGGCACTGTCAGTATGCCTTGCCATAGTAGGAGCCATAGGGTTGGGAGGTAAGGCACACTCACTCTGTATTTGCATACAGATGCAAACATGCAAGCTAAATGGTGATTGTATAAATAACCCTTTAAAAGCATATAGGCTTTAAATGGATAGATCTGTTAGGAACAAATTAGGAATCAGGGGAAAAAGGCATTTAGTTTTTAAGAGGTTTGTTTGCTTTATTAGGGGATTTTAGCTGCTTCCACTGGCATGGTTAGAGTTAATGCTGAATGCATTTGTTCTGATGATTTCCCTGTGAGATACATTGTAACCCACGTTCCATGATCTAGTTCTGGCAGGGTAATGTGTTCTCAAGGAATGGGAACTTGATGCCTCGAACCTCCAAGAGTAGTCGATGTGCCTTCAGGTTTAACAAAGTGATGCTCCCATGGAATGTTGCAAATCAGTGTCTCTGTGTCTTGTTAGATCTGAACAAAAAACAAAAACCATTAGACATGGACTAGAATTTATTTCGACATTGGCATCAATAAATCAGTATGTTCCAACATATTACTAATGGCATTAGGGAGAATCAAGCTGTTAAGTGTCAAGTGTTGGGGGGGGCGAGTGGGTTTGGGGGGGTGGATGGTATATATTATTTAACCATTTAAGCGCTGAAGCAATTAATATTCTTTCAAAGAGGTTAAATGTGTGTGAGAAAGATTTACTGAGCACAAACAAACATCCTAACCTACATTTGTGGGTAGTTGTGCCTTGGGCAGATCTGCAAGACAAGAGAATGTAATCCTAGATGGGAAGAGTAAAATGGGATGGATTGGGGGAGGAGAGTGCGGTGGGCTGAGGATAGGGCGGGGGATCCCTTTTATTCTGCAAAGTGGGGAAAGCTCAGCATTCTGAAAGACTGACCTACAAAATAAAAAGTGCATGGGATGTTCAGTGCAATACAAATCACAGCAGGTCTGCTTGTGGGGTTCAGTAGTGAAGCAGAATGCAGGAGTTATTGTGGACTAGCAGCTCTGCGGTGCCTCACAATTATTTTTCTGATTATTGTAGTATACTGCTTGGTAAAGACAGGCAGTTAGTTATATGCATTAAACATATTCAGCTCCCCCACTTCTCATATTAAGTCAAATAATTGCACTTTATATTACTTTCATTACCAAGGCAATAGAAATACATTTCTAATTTTGAAAAGATTATATGTGAGCATTAGGGTTAATCAGATGACTAGCAGTTCCATTAAAAAAAAAAAAAAATAATAATAATATATATATATATATATATATATATATATATATACACACATATATTATCATAGTGTTACCAGTGATAATCAGTATCTGAAATGTTATCTTAAGAATTATATTTTAAAATAATGTATACCTGTTGCTGCACATTTACGTACACAGTTTATCATTATGGAAACCACAAACTCTCAATTTCAATGGTAAGTCAGTAAGGGTTATAATTTTACCATATTGCCAGATTTAATGCTGTGCAAAGCAAACCCTACATCTGATGATCAAATTAAAAGTATATAAATAACATACTTTGACTACACCACAGGCCACTTTAAAGGGTATAAATTTGCACTGCTTATTTTAGCTTTTATTTATTTATTTTTTTCTGCCTAAATTCCTTTTTTTTTCCTTTCTAAATTCCTTTGCTGTGGGTGCTCCGTCCCACACATTAAATTATAAATATAGAACTCTAGCCGACCTGGTAACTTTCCATGAAGCAAAAATGCACTTTTACTGCTACTTTATCCCCCAGTAGCTTTGGTACATAGATACAACATACAGAATGGTATGACCTCTTATTGTAATACAGTAACTGTAACATACAACAGACAATGGGTAAGTAACCTTTGACTTGTCAGGCTACAGTTTGCCTGCAACTACAGTAACTAAGCAGCAGCATTCATCAATACTGTGTAGGCACAGACTATACGTTGACAAACTCCTAGCAGTTATTGTGTGTAAAAAATCAGAAATATATATAAATGTACTGTATTAAAAAATATTTTATTTTTTTTACTTTATTTGTAAGAAGATTCTTAAATCAGAATATAATTGTGATTAAAGAACACTACCTCTGGGTTATTTTCTGACATTTCTGAGGGAGACATCACATGTTAATGTAATTTGCGTGTGATAGCATATAGCTTATTCTAACAGCCTTGCAGCCATCATAGACTGCATTCTGTATGCACACATGTGTACTATGCCCGTCACATCGTTCATTTGGTGAATTTGTGCTGTTAGGGAATTGTAAGTAAGCAATCTAGAAAAATCACTGCTAAGAACTAAGAACTGGGCATTTGAAGCAAATCATCTAAAAAGTTACTGCCTTATTCCCAATTTCTTTACTCTAATACAGTGATTATCTTACTTTTAATGGGAGGTAGTGATCATTCTGAACTATTTTCACTGCCTTCAGATTTTCCATACTATTCAAAAATGTTAGAGTGATGCTGATATGGCTGGCCTATATTCCGATAACAACTTCTGACCAATAGGTTTTATTTTTTATTTATTGTAAGCAAGTTTTTGAACCAGTAACCCCAAAGCAAAATATAACAGACACTCTCGGAGAACTAGGTTTAATAACTTTTGACTAGTTGCCCACTTGTTAGTTCACATAAGCGGACAGAGGCTTCATAGCTTTCCCGTGCACAAAGATTTTTTCTTCTGCTGTTTTGGGGATTTTAATTTGGCCAGGCAAGCATCAAAGAATCTACTGTTGTCATTTGTTACTACCCCACATAGCACAACCAAAGCTAGAATCTATTGCAAAGAGTAGGAGTGTGTACACTTACAACATTTTGAATACTCAGAAGATTTCTTTCATAGATTTTATTGATAAAAAAAAAAACATGTAAAGTCTCATCAAGTGAGCATGATAAATGCACAGTAGCCACTGGTTATATTTTGTGCCTTATTGGAACGCATTCTGTTGATAGTGAATAGAAGCGTGTCGATATAAAACAAGCCATTTAATGTTTCCAAACGTGAAATACACTTTCTGGAGAAGGACAAGCACTTTAGCTTTTCACCTTGATAAATTCTATAAATTTTGTCAATTGCATGTCAGCAATTTGAGCAAACAATTGTAAGTTTCAGATCTTAAGCAATGCTGGCTAAATGCCATCCTGAGCGGAATTTAAGGTCTAAATGTGCGCTAGTATTGAGTAACCATTCAACCAAATAAATATCATGGTCACATCAGTTAAACCTACCTTTATGTCATATATAGTTCCATTTTACAAACTTGCTGTCTCCTGCCAAAAGTGTACAAAATACAGATTAGGGAACAGCGTACACCAAAAAAAAAAAACAGTTTACATTTTTACAGGGCCACATAAAAACACCTATCAGCAAATTAATAATATAGCCAAACTGTGTTAAAGGACCACTATAGGCACCCAGACCACTTCAGCTTAATGAAGTGGCCTGGGTGCCTGGTCCATCTAGGGTTAACCCTTTCTGCTGTTTACCTATGGGTTAATCCAGCCTCTAGTGGCTGTCTCATTGACAGCCGCTATAGGCGCTTCCAGCGTCCGTAGGAAAGCATTGAGACGGAAGAAAAGGGAGGAGAGTCCCAGCCCGAGAGAGCCCGGTGCTTGAAAAGAGGTAAGGGATTAACCCCTTCCTCCTCCTTCAGCGCCACGGGAGTGGGACCCTGAGGGTGGGGGCACCCTCAGAGCACTATAGTGCCAGGAAAACGAGTTTGTTTTGCTGGCACTATAGTGGTCCTTTAAGCCAACCACCACTACGTCACTGTACCTCAATAACGGTGTGTCCTACACTAATTTTAACATGTGAGATTAACATGCTAACTGCAACACTTACTGCTTAAACTGCTTCCATAGACTTTCCTCAATGTATGCTTTTTTTGTAGTCACCTCTAAAGAGGCACCTGTAGTGGATGGCAGGGTCGCCATCAGGGGGTGACAACTTTCCCTCTCTGCACACATAGATAGCGAATATCGCTATCTATTTGTGCAGCCACGGGCCCCCGGCTCCCTGTTACCGCAGAGGGGGCCCAGCACACTGCCTCTACTCTTCTCTTCTCCTCTCTTCTTATAACTCTCGCGAGACCCGCGGCCTTCTGAGCGTTGCCACGGGTTACCATGGCAATGCTCCGCGTGGCACGCAGGCCGTGGGTCTCGCAAAAGTTATTGGAAGAGAGGAGAAGAGAAGAGTAGAGACAGTGTGCTGAGCACCCTCTGCGGTAACAGGGAGCGGGGGGCCCCCATGCCACCGGACCACCAGGGATGGAATCTCCCCCTTCCCTGGACACAGGTAAGAAGCAGGGAGGGGGGAGAAACATTTAATTAAATTAATGTGAAAATGCCCTTCCTCCACCCCCACCCCCAGATTGCACATTTACACACACTGCATACACTAACACAACACACACACACTGCATACACTAACACAGCACACACACACTTCATACACTAACACAACACACACACACTGCATACACTAACACAACACACACACACTGCATACACTAACACAACACACACCCTGCATAAACTAACACAACACACCCTGCATACACTAACACAACACACACTGCATACACTAACAAAACACATACACTGCATACAACAATACAACACACACACTGCATACACTAATACAACACACACACTGCATACACTAACACAACACACACCCTGTATACACTAATACAACACACACTCTACATACACTAACACACTACACACACTGCATACACTAACACAACACACACTGCATACACTAACACAACACACACACTGCATACACTGACACAACACACACACTGCATACGCTAACACAACACACACTCTGCATACACTAACACAACACACACACACTTCATACACTAACACAACACACACTGCATACACTAACACAACACACACCCTGCATACACTAACACAACACACACTGCATACACTAACACAGCACACACTGCAAACACTAACACAACACACACACTGCATACACTGACACAACACACACTGCATACGCTAACACAACACACATACTGCATATGCTAACACAACACACACACTGCATACGCTAACACAACACACACACACTAACACAACACACACACACTTCATACACTAACACAACACACACACTGCATACACTAACACAACACACACCCTGCATACACTAACACAACACACTCTGCATACACTAACACAGCACACACTGCACACACTAACACAACACACACTGCATACACTAACACAACACACACACTGCATACACTAACACAACACATACTCTGCATTCACTACACTGACACACAATCTGCATTCACTACACTGACACACACTCTGCATTCACTACACATTAACACACACTCTGCATTAACTGTACACACAGCATCCACTACACAAACATCCTGTATTCACAGTACACACACTACATCCACCACAAATTGAAACACTCTGCATTCACTATACACAGACATTGCGTCTAATACACACACTACATCCACTACAGACACTACATCCACTAAACACATTTCATCTAGTACACACAAAAACTACATCCACTACACAAACACACACTACATCACTGTACACACACTACATCCACTACTCAAACACACTCTGCGTTCACTATACACACTGCATCTGCTACACAAACACACACTCTGCATTCTCTGCACAAACAGTGTCTAACACTACATCCATTACACATTCTAAATCACTTCCACTATACACACCACATTCAGTCCTGCATCATTGTCAGCGGACTAGGTAGGGCATGGGGGGGCCCGGGGGGAGGGAAGGGGAGGTGCTTTGTCAGGGGCCCCAAAAGTTCTGATGGCGGCCCTGGTGGATGGTCATATATGGCCAATATGATATAACTGAATCCCCATATTTGTTGCTAAAATAGGTGTTTTTAAGTAGCTTTGTAAAATGTTTGTGTGTGCTCCCTAATCTGTATTTTGTATATATTTTGGTCTATACAGCAGCAACACTACTTAGAATTACATGTTCTGAATGTGCCTCCTATTCCCCTTTTTTCTGCGAAGAATTTATCATGTCACTGATGGCCCATAAACTTTGAGTTCTGATTCCAGTGTGACAATGGTCACATCAGATAGGTATTGGGCACGATGTACAGAGAGTGATGACCTTCGACTGCAAACCTTGAAAATCTGTTCATAGCAGGAACTCAAAGATCAATCGGAAAATCATCACTTTTTATGAATTAGGCGAGCCAGAATCATTGTATCTACTTGTTGGAAAAAGCTTCCTCTTTCTCAATTAAACAGGAAGCTTATAGCACAAATAGGGGGCACTCCTGTGTATAGCAATACATAAAGGAAACACATTAGTAAAAACATGCAAATACAGTCCATGAGGAAATATTACTAAACTTCATCTTTTATCTAGGAATTCTTTAGAGCAAACAGAAAATCCCGCAAAAAAAAAACCAACAAAAAAAAGCTTTTAGCAATACTGAATAACAGGCAAATGTAATTAGTACGTAAGGTGTTACATTACAAAGTGTTTTCATGTTCTAAATTGGTGCAATTACCATTTTGTCTTGTCTTGTCTTGTCTGGCTATTTCCTGAGTCTTCATGTTTGGCTTTTCTTGAGTGTGTAGAGGTACTGGTATTTTTGACTCTCTTGTGTATGTAGCAGTAATTTTACAATATTTCTCGTACTTGTGTATCTCTTGTTGTGCATGCTATATGCTCATTTTTGCTATGCAAAATACCTGCTAGTGCATGTGCAATACGTGTGTGTCTGTCTCCTGAAAAATCTTTTTTGTCACAGCTCATTACAATGGCCTTTTTATTTTTCCCATTTGGGCAATGCATGTAGCGCTTTACTTCCCCTTTAAGAGATTAACATTTGACGCTCTGCTAGGGTTGCAGGATAGTAGCAAAGCTGGGTGATGAAGGATCTCTGTCAATAAACCTATATGCTTCAGTGGACAGACACAAAAAAGCAGAGAGAAAGATAGACACAGGAAGACTTAAACCCTTCAACCCACAAGGTTTTGCAAAAACTATGTTTTCATTGGCCTTGACCCAGTGTTATAATCTTAGTTAATGATCCCATATTTTTGGACAGAATCTTTTTGTGAGGTCATGTTATCTTTGTGGCTTCATATTGCATACACAGATCAAAGAAAAAACCACCTCAGGTTATGATAGCTAGATACTATAAATTGATGCAATTTATGGAATTTAATCGAATATCATTCAGAAAAATTACTTTACAACCAATTATACTATGATCAGACTTCATCAATTATTGACCCCTTTGGTGTTGGGGACGTTGAATACATTATTTTGGCATTAAGAACTTTGATGGAAAGCAGTCTAATTTCCATGATTGTGTTTTCCTTGTTCGTGCTCTGTGCAAGCACACTCAAACGAGCTGCTTTTGTTGAAGTCCAGTGGGCATGAATATTCACTCAATGGATGAATCCCCCCTTTCTACGGAGTGTGCCAATTCTTTTTTTACATTGCTGCAAAAATAAAATAAGATTATCTACTCTAATATCCATTTCTACTTTTCTCTATGAAGACTTAAAACCTTATTGAAGCATTTTACCTGCGGATTTGGAGCATCTGTGACAGGATTGGATGTCGCTTCACATACATTTAGTTGATTGTTTTGGATAGGGTAACGGATATTCTGTTAACAGATACATGTGGAAGGCTCAGTAATGAGTATTAGACATTGCCCTGTGTGCTGGGTTGAAATGTCACATTGATTGTTGGATAGTTTACTGGTAATGAGTAGGCAAGTGTAAATTGAGTATAGTGAATGGAGAGAGGATTGCTATATTCTTTCCTTTCATTATTTTCTTCTTCAAAAATCTTTGTTTTACAATAAAACATTGTAAAACATTGAATTACGCAATTAGAAATGCCAATGGGCACTCCATTGCTTCAGATGAGCCATTCTATATTTAATGCGCCATGTAGGTTATACTTTAAATAAAGTATACAAAACAAGACATTCCAAATAATGAAAAAAAAATGTATCCACCTTTTGAGTGTTTAAGAGGATATTACATGTGGGGAGATTTATCGAGAAAACAGGTGCTAAAAAGTGATCAATGACCATGTAAACCAATATAATGTCTATCAACATTGAGGTCTTTGCTCTCAGAATATTATCTGTTTTATATTTATAAATACTCCCATGGAGTATATGATTGTGTGCAAAACAGGCAAATGGGTCCTTATTGCATCATGACCTATGCATGTAACACTCATAATAACGGTTGATAATGCTGTAATGCTGTACAAAACAGATCTGTGTTTTTCCATACGCATGTAAAAATGATTTACCTTTGTGATTCAGGTAATATAGAAATACTGTCATTATTTAAAGACCACTATAGTCACCCAGACCACTTCAGCTCAATAAAGCGGTCTGGGTGCCAGGTCCCCCAGATCTTAACCCTGCAGCTGTCAACATAGCAGTTTCAAAGAAACTGCCATGTTTACATTGCAGGGTTAATCCAGCCTCTAGTTGCTGTCTTCCTGACAGCCGCTAGAGGCGCTTCCCCGACGCTCAATGCCAAAATCACATTGAGCACGCAGAAGTCGTTTTTAATGCGCATGTGCAGTCGGCTCCACTTTGGAGCTGACGTCGGAGGGGGAGGAGAGGTCACTAGGGGAGCCCGGAACTGGATAAAGGTAAGTGGCAGGAGGGGGGGACCTAAGGACTATATAGTGCCAGGAAAACGAGTTTGTTTTTCTGACACTATAGTGATCCTTTAAACAGTGGATAAATCATTGTATCTTTTTATTTATATTTTGTGATTACAGGAACAATTCATTGAGCTTGGTTGTATGATTCTATGCTACAGGCTTGTTTAGTGAAGGATACGCTTTAATAGTACCACAAGTGGAATATTCGTAAAATATTGCTTTATTTTTTCACCAATTTAAACTGTTATTAAAATGGATTACACAGGAGCCTTAAAGGGACACTGTATGCATTATAACTGGAGAGACATCACCTATAGAATCTTTGCACCATAATGGTGACAATAAGCTGTAGTGGTTATAGTATATAAAGTGTTTCTTTAAACTGTCATAAATGGCCAATTAAAAGTAACACTCCAAGCACCATAACTATTACTGCACTCTATTGTGGTTATAGTGCCAGGAGTGCCCTGGTGCCTGCTGAGTGTATAAGTATTTAGTAATGGTATGGAGTTAAATCGTTAATGGTTATGGTGATCTAAATAAACAGTATAGTGTTAGGAATACAAAGCTGTATTCCTGACACTATAGTATCCTTTTTGCCCTGCAGCCTCCCCCATGGTACCCACCACCCCAGGCCATAAAGGGTTGATAAAAAAACGTTTTTAACACTTACCTGATTCTGACATCAGGGCAATCTGTGAATATAATCAATGATTTCCTATGGGGTTTTTCAACAATGCTGAAAGACCTTATGCAAAGCATGAGGAAGTCCAGCATCGTTTCACAGAGTCATACTTTGTGAAACTGCAGTAAGAGCCACTAGTGGCGGTCTGTTTCTCTGAAACTGCAATATTTTACAATGCAGGGTTAATGGGACAGGGGCAGTGCACCCAGACCACTTCAATGAAATTAAGTGGTCTGGGTGCCTTTAGTGTCCCTTTATCCCCTTAAGGACCAAACTTCTGGAATAAAAGGGAATCATGACATGTCACACGTCATGTGTCCTTAAGGGGGTAATTACAGACCTGAAATACTAACTTACACTCGGAAGGTTCACTTGAAGCTTATTATAGACTAGTAGTGTCTGCATGCATCGAAACTTACTTCACATCCTCTATTTTATGTTTAAATGTGTTTCCACTTAAAAATAACATTTAATAAAATCTTGTTTTATTGTAATTTTAAAATCAAACCCATCTTCAATTGGTAATGCAAACTTTGGTGTATACAAAAATATATTTCTCTTAGTTTGCGTTATGGCATGCTTTCAATGATCTATGTCTTGGGATTTTTTTAAGCAGTTGCTTTCCATGACTTCTTATAAATGAACTTGATACAATTATTATTCGAATGTCTCCTAGCAGTAAAATGTCTGGAAGTAAAAATCTTTTTTTTTTTTTTTTTATTTGTATCAAGCAAAATGTCTTTAAAGCTATTTTGTCAGAATTACAATTGGTTATGCTACAAAAACTTTTAGAAAAGTCTACAACCACAGCAAAATGCTATTAAATTACTGTTGAAAGCCTCTTTTGTAGGTAATATGCTTAGTTCAAAGTGTTGCAACCTGCATTAAGGCAAAGGTAACCCTTAGTCTGTTCTATTTCTTACATTTTGAAGCTGAGTTGGTGAATTGGCAGATGAGAGGATTCTGTGTTGGTTGTCCTGCTCAACATTACCTTCACTTTTGGACTTCGTACATTATTATTATTATTTTATTATTTATATAGCGCCATCACATTCTGTAGCGCTGTACAATGGGTGGACTAACAGACATGTAATTTTAACCAGACAATTGGAAGTACAATGAGCTTACATTCTAGAGGGAGTGGGGTATAGTGACACAAAGGGTAAAAGTAGCAGTATGAAGTAGGTTGTTAGAAAAGTATTAATTGAGGGCTTAGTAGGTAATTTTTGACAGTTGCAGGAGAGGAGTCATGGGAGGTGGGGGATAAAAACCTGCTTACAGTTTAACTGATATGCTTTCTTGAAGAAGTGAGTTTTCAATGATTTTTTGAATGAGTGGAGACTGGGTGAAAGTCTTACGGATAAGGGAAGGGCGTTCCACAGAAGAGGTGCAGCCCTGGAGAAATCTTGTAGGTGAGCATCAGAGGTGGGAGTACGGACAGAGGATAGTCGTAGGTCTTTGGCAGAGCGTAGGGGCCTCAACGGGACATACTTGTGTATTAGGGAGGATAGGTAGGTTGGAGCAGCATTATGTAGGGACTTGTCAGCAAGCACCAGAATTTTAAATTGAGCCCTATATTTAACTGGAAGCCAGTGCAGGGACTGACAGAGTGGGGAGGCATGGGAGGTGCGAGTGGACAGGAAAATGAGCCTCGCCAATGCATTCATTGTAGATTGCAACGGTGCAATCTGGGAACATGTAAGACCACTGAGAAGGGTATTGCAGAAGTCAAGGCGAGAGAGAACAAGAGCATGGACCAGCACCTTAGCCGCATCTGGGGTTAAATAGGGGCGAATGCGCGCTATGTTTTTGAGATGAAAGCGACAGGATTTGGTGATTGATTGGATATGAGGGGTGAAGGAGAGGTTGGAGTAAAAAAAAACACCCAGGCAGCGAGCTTGTGAGGTAGAGGTGATGGTAGCACCATTGACTTGGAATCTCATCACCAAACAAAATTCAGAATGACATCGCTTAGTGGAATTTGCAGCTGGAGGTTTTTGAATTAACGGTTTAATCGTGTGATTTTTTTTTCTAGGAGGCAAAAGATGTAAATGAACCTTTTCTCACATTCTCTGAATTATCTTTCTTTGATAATTAAGGAAAGTTTTGAAATTGCACATTGTTAAAACTTATATATTATATTCTCTTTAACTTTAGAGTCTCCTAGCAATCCCTAGTGGATTTGTTACCATTGTCCCGTGCTGCTGTTCCATGGATTATTATCAAACTGTTAGTTTAAAAAAGGTTTGATATAAACTGGGACTTTCCTGACGCTGAATGACCTCTCATACCACAGCTACAATGATAATGTGGCTTTAACGCTTCAAAGTTATTAATGCCCATTTTGTCCAATTTATACCATAATGGTTGGCTGAAAGTACTTAGCACAATCATTGTCATCCATGTTGGACGAAATTGACATTGAACATTGAGAATAATGTAAGCGTTAAAGGAACACTTATAATTCTTCCATAACATATAACAAATACAGCTTGAGAATTTAAGGTGACTTACTTACATCTGACTTAGGGTATATTTCCAGTTCATCCCTGGGACACCAGAGAACAAAGTCAGGATGGCGGGACAGGACCTTAAAACACATTTTGCAGGTTCACCCCTTCTGACGATTCATGTCATTGCCCTTCTACACCCACCCACTTGAGTCCCACTTGATGAGACACCAAAGTTCTGATGTATGCATTTGGTCCTTTTGATTCAACAGATACAATATCTCACCTACCATCCACAGAGTACTTGCTGCTGATTTCATTGTTGCTTCTGTGTGCTGTTTGAGTAAAAACTAAATACTAGATGTTCTCAAACCATTAACATGTGTGTGTGTGATCCAGTCACAATGTTTGGTTTTGTCTGTTGAATTTAACCCCTTAAGGACCAAACTTCTGGAATAAAAGGGAATCATGACATGTCACACATGTCATGTGTCCTTAAGGGGTTAAGGTTTGTACACTTTAATGTTGTGCACATGGAAGTCTTTTGTAGTAATATGTGATAACAGGGGTCTCGTAATTGGGTTTTTGATCAGATAAGCAGCCTTTCATTTGGGCTGATATTTATACGTGTTTTTTTCTTTATGATTTTTATATTGTTAACCCCAACCTTGCTAAGAACATAATAAAAGAAAATAATAATAATAATCCCCTGAACAAGGAAGAAGAAGCCATGTGTAATTAAGCACTCATTTCTCTTATTGTTGAAACAAAGTAATGTCAACAAATTAATTGTTTAATGCTAAAAATAATTTTATTAAAAAAAGCTAAGGTATAAATTAAACAATAAAAGGACCATAAAGTCACCCAGGCCTCTTAATCTTAATGAAGTGGTCCAAGTGCAGTGGTCCTGTCATTTTAACCCTGGTGTGTAAAACATTGTAGTTTTTAATTTTTAGAAAACTGCAAAGTGTACACTGCAGGTTTAAATACACCTTTACCTCTAGTGGTTGCCTTCATGACAGCCACTATAGGCACTTCTGTCTCCAAAACCAAGTGAAATACTCAGTCCTGGCTTCAAATGCTGCATTTGATTGGAGGAGTGTGGTGGTTTTCTGCGCATGTCTGTTTCCATTCCCCTACTTTCTTTAGGAGAAGCAGTGGATTGGAGGAGATTGAGTAAAATGTCAGTAGGATGGCTGAGGTCATCAAAGGTGACTGTAGAGGTCCCTACGCTGGAAAAGAGGTAAGTAATCTTTATATAACCTAAATTGTATACTAGCAAAGGGGGGTGGAGAGAAGGGAACCCATTGTCCCAAAGTAATAATTGTTATTTTCAGGACAATAGGCTCCCTTTGCTGGCTGTCTAAAGTTGTTATTGGCAGCTAAACTCCTCCTTCCTCCCTACAAACATTATAAAGTATATGCAGTGCTCCATATAGTTAGAGTGGACACACACTCATGCTGCCTTTTCAGGTAAACAAAAAAGGGGATCATTGGTGAACATCCTTATTGTATCATGCCTGATATATATATGCATTGAATCGAAATTAGTTTTCTTTCCCACAGTTTTATATAGCAGTCATTTTTAATTGAAAGTAACTAGCAAGTAAATAGATATACTTTCATTTATATGAAGCAATGATTATACAATAAATTGTACAAAAAAAAATACACATCTTTTGACTTGTTATTGGTTTATATAAATTTAGTCTAAACACAACTCTCTTAGTCCTAAAATGTGTGACCAATTTCCATTCCCTCTGCCAATACTTATCTCGGACCTTGAACTGTATAAGGGGCCCCAACATTTGTGATTGCAGCCCTGAATACAATAACTGTCAATAAAGCTACCTGAGTTATCTGGAGAAAAAAACAACAATATTCTAAAAGTCACTGTGACTTGCTGATTAAAAAATAGAGGCTGCACAAGTAGTTGCTGTGTGCACAAAACAAGGTGCTACAGACATTTATTTGGAGGACAAGTAACAAATGTTTCGGGGTAGTCCCTTTGTCAATGCATCATTGATAAAATGATGCATTGACAAAGGGATTACTCCGAAACATTTGTTATTTGTCTTCCAAATAAATGTCAGTAGCACCTTGTTTTGTGCACAACTACTTGCGCAGCCTCTTCTGTGCATTTTCACTGACTGAGCAACAGTGAGTACTATTTTGCATTGAAATCTATGTATTTTTTCTGGAGTCTTTTTCCAGTTCTTAGTATTTTTTTTGCTTTTTGTGCGACTTGCTGCTTATCAGTAAGAAGTTAGTGTACATCACTTGGAAGAATGATCATCTCATAATTCTACAACAGTATTCAAGTAATACACAGAGTGTCTATGACAAGGAACTTCAGCCCTTGAAAACTGGAACCCATTCAGAGTTTTAGGATATATCTAATGAAACAATTAAGATTTTATATTGGTGAACAATGTGCTCAGTGTTGTGGTGGAAACCCATGTGGTCCTTAAGGGTTGGAGCTTGACATCCTAACCTATAATTCCCTTTAATGAAGCAGTACATAGATATTTATGCATGGAATTACAGTCAAGAAAATTCACAGCAGCGTATTCATTTGATATTTTTTGTTTTATAGTCGAGTCGAGTTATTGTGCTCAGGCCTTGAAATTCTGAGAAAACAACATGTACTTTTTAATTTACAAGTAGTTTTCTATACAAACCAAAGTCAAAGGCAATGAACTGAGAAAGCATACAAAGAGATTTCTGTTAAAGAGTACGGTACGATCAAGTTCCTGCCATGTGGGAAACAATTTGTTTGTCTCAAACTATAGAAAATCTTCTACTCACGATCTTTTTAATCAATGAGGAGTGAAATCCAGAGCCACTTATTTCACAAGCAGTTAGGACTTCCTGCAAGATATCTTTTCTCTCTTTAGTCCTAAAGTAGCACTGTTACTGTATATTTTTGGTATGACATACCTCTTACTGACATGTCTACATGTTTGTTGGCATCTTCAGCTCCCAGTAGAAGACTCCAATAGCTGCTTTACTTCAGATGTTATAGGCATCCATTGCACATCATGTGAAGAGATGTCCATTTCCGTGAGCTTTTTCACGTCAGGAATTATGGCAAATTGCAAGATGCCTCAAACAGAAACTATTTGAAGCTACCTTGTAAAGGGATTCTATAGTGTTAGGAATACAAATCTTAGGAATACAAAACCTCGGGTCCCCCCTCCCTTGCGGGTCTCTCTCCCTGGTATGTAAAGTTTTTTTAAAACCCTTTTTTTACTCACCAGATTCCAGCACCCACGTCGGATCAGCGATCTGCCTCCGCCGACGTCATCTGATGGGGGGACATAATACGCATTCACAGCGAGTGCCGCAAGCGTATTAAGTCCTCCCCATAGGAAAGCATTGAATCAATGTTTTCCTATAGGGATTTTACTGATGCTGGATGTTCTCATGCAGAGCGTGAGGACATCCAGCGTCAGTTTGGTGACCCAGAGTCCAGTAAACTCCCAAAAGCGTCTCTAGTGGGTGTCTCAAAAACTGCATTATTTTACATTGCAGGACTAAGAGGGACATAGCATCCAGACCACTTCAATGAGATGAAGTGGTCCGGGTGCATATAGTTTCCCTTTAATACAGTGTCTTGCAAAAGTATTCACCCCTCTTGGCATTTTTTGTGTTTTGTTGCCTCACAATCTGGAATTAACATGGATTATTTGAGGATTTACATCATTTAATTTACAGAACATGCCCACAACTTTGAAGATGTTATTTTTTTATTATTGTGAAGTAAACAACAAATAGGACAAAATAGCAGAAAAAGTCAATGTGCATAACTATTCACCCCCCTAAAGTCAATACTTTGTAGAGCCACCTTTTGCAGCAATCACAGCTCCAAGTCTCTTTGGATAAGTCTCTATGAGCTTGCCACATCTTACCACGGGGATTTTTGCCCATTCCTCCTTGCAAAACTGCTCCAGCTCCTTCAAGTTGGATGGTTTACGCTTCTGAACAGCAATCTTTAAGTCTGACTACAGATTTTCTATTGGATTGAGGTCTGGGCTTTGTCTAGGCCATTCCAACACATTTACATGTTTCCCCTTAAACCACTCAAGTGTTGCTTTAGCAGTGTGTTTGGAGTCATTGTCCTGCTGGAAGGTGAACCTCCATCCGAGCCTCAAATCACGCACAGAGTGGTACAGGTTTTGCTCAAGAATATCCCTGTATTTAGCACCATCCATCTTTCCCTCAACTCTGGCCAGTTTCCCAGTCCCAACTGCTGAAAAACATCCCCACAGCATGATGCTGCCACCACCATGTTTCACTGTGGGGATGATGTTCTTTGGGTGATGTGATGTGTTGGGTTTGCGCCAGACATAGCGTTTTCTTTGATGGCCGAAAAGTTCAATTTTAGACTCATCAGACCAGAGCACCTTCCTCCATACATTTTGGGAGTCTCCCACATGCCTTTTCGCAAACTCAAAATGTGCCATTTTGTTTTTTTGCTGAAAGTAATAGCTTTCTTCTGGCCACTCTGCCATAAAGCCCAACTCTATGGAGCGTACAGCTTATTGTCGTCCTATGTACAGATACTCCAGTCTCTGCTGTGGAACTCTGCAGCTTCTCCAGGGTTACCTTAGATCTCTGTGCTGCCTCTCTGATTAATGCCCTCCTTGCCCGGTCCTATGAGTTTTGGTGGGCGGCCGTCTCTTGGCAGGTTTGCTGTTGTTTCCATTTGGTTTTGATAGATTTGATGGTGCTCCTGGGGATTTGGATATTTTTTTTTTTAACCTAACCCTGACTTGTACTTCTCAACAACATTGTCTCTTACTTGTTTGGAGAGTTCCTTGGTCTTCATGGCCGTGTTTGGTTAGTGGTGCCTCTTGCTTAGGTGTTGCAGCCTCTGGGGCCTTTCAAAAGAGTTGTGTATATGTAATGACAGATCATGTGACACTTAGATTGCACACAGGTGGACATCATTTTACTAATTATGTGACTTCTGAAGGTAATTGGTTGCACCAGAGCTTTTTATGGGCTTCATAACAAAGGGGGTGAATACATACGCACATGCCAATTTTCTGTTTTTTATTTCTAAAAAATAGTTTTATGTATATATTTTTCTCATTTCACTTCACCAACTTAGACTATTGTGTTCTGATCCATCACATAAAATTCAGATTAATAAAACATTGAACTTAAGACTGTAATGTAACAAAATAGGTAAAAAGTCAAGGGGGTGAATACTTTTGCAAGGCACTGTATGTTGTATGATATCTATTGATTGTGTTGGAATTTCAATGAAAATCCAGTCCAGTCTACACAGAGTAACATAAAGATTCTGCCTTCATGAAAACGTCAAAAGAAGCATTCAACAAAAAAATACTAGCTGATTTTTCAGAGTTTCAATGTCATTTTAGCATTTAAAAGAAAATTGCAAATGCGTTTTAAAAGTTAGGGACTCGTTATCATTGTTCAAGAAAAGAAATTCCTGTTGTTCTGTGTTTAATACATAGCTTACCTGAGGTAACTTTAAATATGTACTAGTTAAAGCATGTAAATGTCCTTATTTTTATCGTGTGATATATATAATATGTCATCAAAAGAAAGGCAGTGTTTATATTGATTAACCTGCAGGAACATACTACACACACCAGAACAACTACATTAAGCTGTAGAGGTTCTGGTGACTATAGTGTCCCTTTAACTCATAAACAACAGAGGATTGGGCAGTGACACTGCAGTGGTGTGATCTATACACAAAGCAACAGTTTATTAATCTAAAACTGTTTTGGAGGTTAGAGTGTCCCTTTAATGCATTCAAGCTTTTTTTGGCAGAACTAATGCTTGGATTGATGGCTTAAATGGCATAAGAGGTGGGCTGTATGTGTGTAAATTGAAAAAAATACATACAATAATATTAATAATAAAAAGGGTGCACCTGCTTTTAGGAACAAGGATAGGTAAAACAAAAGTAGTGCTGGGTTTATAAAGGTCACATCAGACTGGTCAGTGTAAGCTGCCCTACGAAGAACTTGAAATAGATTTTGGAGGGTTTGTAGTCAAAATGGGAATTTATCTATCTCTTGGTGCCCATGTGTACTTGGTTAGTGTTTTTTTGAGATTTTACCTCTTTTGTTATTCTTTTAATTTATATTCATAGACAGTGCCTTTTAAATCCCTGACCTACACTGCTGTAAGAGGTATCGAATACAATGTCTTTAGGTTCCGACACCCGTGAGCACTATAATACTCTGCTACTCTAGCTAATTGATGCTCACGGTTTGATTTTACCACCTCATGGTTTTTGTACTTTAAAACAACTGTCTGGGATCCAAGTCAATCCATGTTCTCTGTTTGAAATGAATGAAAGAAGTATCGCACATGAGATTTCCAGGTTAGTACTTCTGAACTGTTTTCCCACAGGGATGAACGCTGACACTTATTCTTAAGAGCTTTCATTCACACTCCTGTATTTCCCTGAATGTAAGTCCTCATGGTTGCACTGTGAATTTGTGTCATAGGGAAATGTCTGTTATTTATATATTTTTATTATATTGTTTAAACTATATGGTTTATAGAATAAGATGCATATGAAGTAATTATGTATTTTATATCCTGCAGTTGCCAATATCTGCTCTGTAATCTATTTTTTTATGGTCTTATTTTTCTTAATCCTTTTTATCCATTATATCTATAATGCCATATATGCTGTCTATGAATAACTGACTCTAGTATACCAGACGTTTACCCATACTTTGAATGATAATTCTTGATTCTGTTTGTACTGTATGTTTACATTTTAGATTCATTAAGTTTGCATACAATGAATGGAGCTACATAGATGGCTTATTAATGTGTCGGATTACTTTAGACTTTGATCCATATGTTGGGTATGTTTTACAATGTAACTGCATAATGTAATATGAGTGTAGTAACATCGTTTTAATTGAGTGCGCATTGAAAAAGGGACAGATATGCTAGAGCAGGGGTAGGCAACCTTTTAGTAGTATTGTGCCAAAACAAGATCTTAAAGTCCCGTTACTATTTTTTTTTTATATTGAGGTGTGTATGTTCCCATAACCTGCTTGTGGTATTTATGGGTGCTGCAGTTGCTTTGTAGCATTGTATTTGTGTCATGTTATATTGTATATGTGGCATTGTGTGTGTAATACCTATTAATGTGGGCTGTGTATGCAGGCTGCTTGTGGAATTGTGTGGATGATATGTCACATTGTGTGTTTGATGTGTATACGTGTGGGTCTGCTTGTGATACTGTATGTGAGAGGGTGCTTGTGTGTTTGTGTGTGGTCTGTTTGGTCTATTATTTGTAATAGGGGAGGCTTCTTTTTCAGCTCTGTGTATATCTAGCAGTGTGGGTGGCTTCACTAGGGTCCATTGGGGATGGGGTTGGTCAACTATAGATCAAGGGCTGGAGCTGTTATAGCTGCTGTTGGCTTCTCTACTCTAGTGCAGATTCCTGTTCACAACTGCTGGGAGGACGTTTTCTCAGCTCACTTCCTCTAAGTGCTGCAGTGTGTAAATTGAGGATTGTCCCTCACTACATGCAACCACAGCTCTGTTTAAACAAGCAGATATCTGATGTTCCCCTGGGACTCCTGATAGTCCAAACCGTGTTTGGCTCTGACAGTCTTGAGTGCTGTGCAAAGGCACCTCAGGTGCCATGCATAGCACACGTGCCGTAGGTTGCTGACCCCTGTGCTAGACCAAGCATGTCAAACTCAAAGGCTAACATAGGCCAAATAAACAAGATTTACGTTTATGTTAGACGCAAAAAAAAAAGAGTTTGACCTAGATCAACACAAACTAAAATTACTTGTATCATTCTCATGCAAAAAATATGTATTCCTGGGCACATATATATAATTTACTCAAAGAGCTTCACTTCAAGTTACTTAGTATTACACCCCAATCTAATAAACAGCCTCCTGTTGATTTGGAAGAAAGCAGGTTTCCTTGACAAAGTTGTCGTACAGTTTTGATGTGCCTTTTTTCAGTTTAATTTTGCGAGTGCAATATATTTACACTCCAATTTCTTTGATATCACACAGTATTATGCTATTTGTGTTCTTTTTGTTAATTTCTCTGTAGCTTGTATTTGTATATGTTTCTATGTATTGGAGCTGATAAAGTTTAGAAAAGATTTGGCATGGGTGAGAGTAAGAGATACAGCACACACCAAACTACAAGCCAGGCATACATAACATACAGCCAGCACACACACACACACACACACACACACAATATAAAGACAGGACACACACACACAACACACAGCCAACACCAGATACACACACATTGCATACAGCCTGCACACACACAGCCCACATATACACACAAACACATAGCGTGCACAAACACACACAACATACAGCCAACACAGACATTCACACATCATACAGCCAGCAAACACCAGGTACACACACACAGCCTGCACAAACACACATGGCATTCAGCCAGCACAGACACTCACATATCATACAGCCAGCATACATCAGACGCACACACACACCATAGAGCCAGCACTCACACATTACACACAGCCAGTGAACACACTAGACAGAGAGCACACGCTACACACAACCAGCACATGCTACAAACAGCCAGCAGACACCATTACATACAGCCAACACACACACACATTACATAAAGCCAGCAAGCATCACATATTACACCCCGCCAAAAACACACATACTCTATGAGGGTGGACAGAGGGCGAGACCCTAAACTCCAAATTTTTGCACATTAAATCCAAATGGAAAAAAATAGCCAGTTGTGACTATAGCTGAGTGGAATTATTTTTTACAGATCAGCTATTTTGGCCTTGCTTCCCCCTCGTTTCCCCCTCCTCCCCCCGAATTAACCTGTGAATAACCCTGCCAACGCCCAGGTCTTAACAGGGTCTCAAACAAAATTCGGACGAACTGAAACACAAAATGGACAAAATTCGATATGTCCCAATCCATCTTCTTTTTCATACAATTTAAATTTTGCCATCCACAGTGTAGTGTGATTGTTTTAATACAGGTAATACTCCAATTAAGGTGTTTTGCAATATGTACATGAATGGTAATTATATTCTAATTGAAGAATTATGATTGGTTCACCAAGCAACATAATTTAGGTCACTGACAAAAAAGTTTGAAAAGCACTAATCTTCACTATCATTACTAATTATTCTTTTGTAGATTTAAGAATCAGAGAAGGTAAAGAAAATTGATAGATTGTGGGTCATATTATTTGTAAATATTTTCTAAATATTCGCATATATTCCCATTTCAGATTTTTTTTATTTGCTTCAGCAGGTTTTTCACATTAATAAGTCTACCTAGTAATACTTTTGCCTTTGAAAGTTGATAGGTGTCATTAATCTTTGTTTAGTACGAAGGGCTGAAAGTTCATAGAAGCAACGTTATTACACAAATTGTTATTTTCCTCGTGTCACTATAAGCCAATGGACTGTGGACATGATCCCAGTGAAGAATCAGGTGAGGTACACAGGTCAGGCTTTAGGGACATTGATATTACATGTGTTGATAATGTTTCAGTGTTACACAGCAAAAGAGAATACTTATGTACTTTTATATTTATTATAAACCATGAGACTAAAGGTCATGTGGTTTATACATTTCTCCAAAACCCTGAGGTGGCATTATTTACCCATAATACATCCTTCACCCTTATGTATATTTTATATGGAATGATATTCTTAGGTTATCGGTAATGTAAGTAGTATGGTAGTGTAGGTATTAATGTTTCAAGTTAGTGTAGTTTACAGATTAAAAGGACAATCTGGGCACCATAACAACTTAATCAGGATGAAGTTGTTATGCTGATAGGAAGTCCATGGCGCTGACTCACCTAACCCCACAGTCCACTGTCTGGCGCTGTTTGGTGTTATCTTAGTGTACGGCTTAATGTTTAGTGATAGTGTTAGTGAAGTGTAGGTGATAATGTTTACTATAAATAATGTTTAGTATAAAGTGGTGTAGGTGTTAAGGGGAGACTTCACTGTAAGGTGAATTGGGTATTACAGTCAACGATGGCAGCTATTTCACCCGCCTTCATTAAATTGGAAGCAGGTGCTGATTGGGAGTGTAACTCCCACTAATCTCAGGCAGACTAGGACATGTATGTCCTTGTTCTGTTTGAAATTAGGCTCCTCAGACTGCACAGATGTTAATCAGTCGAATATTACCTGTTCCTTATGGGAAATATGTTCACAATTGATGTCACCATCCATGCAGTATGGGATTCTAAAACCTGCTTCTGGATTTCATTACGTGAAATGCCTAATATTTCACTTTTAAAAATAGCAGTGCCAATACCCAGCTGCCGGATAACAATACAGCTTTTCTCAGAGCTAACAGTAGGAGCATTGAGAAAAATATCATAGTCATGCATTTTCAGAAAGAATTCATAATCTTCAACCAACATCACATATCTAGTTTTTGGTTATTATCTAAGCCTTGTTGGAAAATATGGTATTAAGACATGGATGTGCGAAATGGAAATTAGATCCTTCCTTTTCTAAATCTTTTTTTTTTTTTTTTAATAGTATCTTTTTGGTTCCAATTCCTTTTTTGTTCAGACAGATTCCATTTATCTAGTTTTAATAGTAAAGACAAAAGGGAATTGGGGGCATACCCGGAACATGCATCTTGCATGAGCAAAATGTATCCATAAAACAGATTAAGAAACAGCGCAAACATAAAAATACAGTTTTTAATTTTATAAGGCTACTTAAAATCACCAAGTTATCAAACAAATATGGAGATTCAGTTCCACCATATGGTCATATTGTGTTAAACCCACCACTACTTCACAGAACTTCAATATTGGTGTGTCCTACACTAATTCCAATATGGTTATTTTGTGCTTATCATATCAATTTTGCATTATTTATTTATATATATATATATATTCATAATGCTCTTACAACAGATTATTAGAAAACACTTTAGCTTATTTAGCACTAGCACTATTTAATTTGTCTACCACGTTGAAATTAGTGTAGGACCAGTGGCAGAACTACCACGGTCACAGGAGTCACAGCTGCGACCGGGATCGTCACTCCAGGGGGCCTTGCCGCCCTGCTGACCCCTGCGACTGTGAGCCACCGAAGGTGGGAACGCCAAGAGGAGCACTCTCACAGGGGGGCCCAGGAGGTGGCCATCTGGTAACCTTAAGGTACACCCAAATCGGCTCCTAGCCAGTGTGGCATAGTAGGCACCTGCTTACCTGGATGGCAGGTGCCTACTCTGCCGATAGACCCTGCAAGGGGATGGGAGAAGAGTAGGCAAACTGCATTCGGCGGTGGGGAGGGAGGCTCATCTGTCATTTCCTCTCTCCTCCCTTGCGCGCCCTCTGTGATGCCGGGAACCGGAATATGACGTCATTCTGGCCCCGGCAGGAGCGTACCTGAAGCATTTGGCACCCGGGGCAGACTCCCCCCCCCCCATTTTAAAATGTAAAACCCACAAATGATCTTTATTTTTTTACATGTATTTAGCACTGAGCAGTGTTTGCATTTTTTTAAAATGTATTTAGCACTGAGCAGTGTTTTTGTATTTGAATGTAAGCATGTTTTTGTATGAAGTATGTCTGAGTGAATGTTGGGGTGTGTTTGCATGTAGTGTTGGCATTTGAATGCAGTCGTGCATTTTTGTGTATTGTGGTTTTTGAATATGTGGTATGTTTTTATGTAGTGTTGATTTTTGGATGCAGGGGTGTATTTGTGTGTAGTGTTGGCGAAATGCTGAAATGTATGCATATATACTCAAATATACACACACTGGCACACATGCAGATATATAGACACACAGATGCACACACTGGCACATACAGACTGACAGACACATAGGTATACACATGCAGACACATAGAAACACAGTAATGCACAGATACAGACAAAAACTGACACACAGATAGAAACACACACTTACCGACACACATATACAGACACACGGGTATAAGTGTGTGCTTATAGTATGCAGTGTGTGTTTGTGTACTGTATGCAGTGTGTGTGTGTGTATAGTGTATGCAGTGTGTTTGTGTGTGTGTGTGTGTGTGTGTGTATGTGTATATAGTGTATGCAGTGTGTGTGTGTGTAGTGTATGCAGTGTGTGTATAGTGAATGCATTGTGTGTGTGTGTGTGTGTGTGTGTGTAGTGAGTGTAATAATGTAATATTTAGTGTATATGTGTGCATAACAGATTTCCACAGCAATAACACAATATGAATGCAGGAATACATTTGTTTGGAGTATCACTATGTGTGTGAACGTAGGTTATATTTGTGATGTTTGTGTGTGAATTTGACTTATTTGTATATTTGTGCAGTGTTAGTGAGTAAATGTTGCAGTATATTTGTGTGAATGATTAATGTGCATGTGTTCAGATGTGTATTTGTGCATTGTGTTTCCAGTCCCTATAAACCCCTTCTATCTCTCTCCATCATGCTCTGTTCAATTATCTCTCCCACACATGTGCTCCTCTTCCTCTTTCCCCACTTGTGTCTCCCTTCCCACATCTTCCACTCTTCTCATACCACTTTGCCCATTTGTTACCCCTTCTCTCCCCTCCTTTCCCCATTTGTGCCCTGTTTTGTGCCTTCCCACGAACGTTTTCCACGAGGAGTGGGGAAGCTGGCCTCCTGCCCACTGACTACAGTCCAGGTCTGAAACCCTGTGCGGGAGATACCCTGCCCAGCTACCATCAGCATCTTTCCCTCGCTGGCCCTGGTTCAGCACTTTACCTTCTCACAAATGGAACCGAACGCTAGCTGCCTGACGACCGTTCGCATGAACAAATCCACGAACAGTCCTCAGCGGTACTTAATGTTATGGAACTGTTTTCGGCTAAGTGACCTTGCGATTCCCAGGCAACTTGGCTTGGGGTTTTGAACCACATTGCGACCGGCCAAGAGAGAGCTTTTTGGAGGGAAGATGCCTAAGACTAAGGAGTACAAACACTCCCTAAAGTTGAACGGCAAAAGCACCAAATGCCATGGAACTATTTTGGGCTAGGAACACGTGTGCGGCTGGTCAGAACTTTGCCCCGGTGCTGTTTCCCCTATAGTGCACGGATCTGAGCGCTATTTGTACAACTCAGGTGCTCAGATCAGGGCTGTTTAGGGATGTAGGACATGTGGGGTTATTATATGTTTTATGATGTTTTGGTGTACTTTTATGTTTTGGTGTTTATCTCTCTGTTCCTGGGAGATAATTAGCTTAACAGTCTTTAACTCAGTTCCTGGGAGGGGCTTGTATTGTATTGTTTGGAGATCCCCTGCTGGGGTCTGTGCCTGAAAGGCTGAGTTTGGCTAATTAAAATGAAATTACTGAGAGGGGAAAGGGCTATTCGCTACTCAGCACCTGGTTCCAGCTCATGGAGGATTCAGCGGAGAAAGTCCTTGTAAGTACTATAGCTCCCAAGACTGTGTGTTGTCCAGTCCCTGGGACAGGAGGACCTCAGTCAAGCTACGGCGGCTGAGGCAGAAGTGCAGAGCCACGCTACAGAGGAATCAAATTAAAACAATTCAAAGTGGAGTTGTTGCAGAAAAAAACAAAACATGATATATATTTAACTTAAAATGAGATGTTTATAAAGTAACAGGCCTAACAACTTTGGATGTCTTTACATAGAAAAGATTCCATTTAGTTTGTGCAGTCCAAGTGTACGCTACACGTAAGTGCTAGTAGGGAATTAAATAGGAGAACTGTGCTGTGGATTAAGGTGTGCTTGGGCAAACCTCTTGCGCTTGTCTATGATGTGCAGTATATGATTCGACAATAACAAGGCTTATAATAGGTAAATCTGTAAAAAAAAAAAAAGGTCATAAATATGCTCAGCACAATTCTATCTGGCCATTTTAAATATAAGCCCTTTTAGTTATTTTTAAACTAAAAATGTTGTTTTCGGCGCAAAAAATAGGGGTGCAGCCTAAAGACAAAATGGTGTTAGTACAGCTCACCTTTAAAACAGCTATTTCCCCTCTCCCCCCAAAAATAGAACAATAAATCATATGTTTGCATTTCTTTTGAATTATTATTTGAATTTGCAGGCCAAGTAGTAGCTCATATTCAAGTTCATCTCATGGGGCTTGGTTGTCTTTAGAAGTAAACAATGAGAAAATGTTTCCATGCTGTGTTCTTACAAACATTATATTCAGCAAAACAAAATCTGCTTAGCCATAAAATAGATATGAGACAGTCAGCAGCATCCAGTTACTATGAATTCCCTAGATATATACTAAGATTTCAACAGTTACCTGTACAAAGATCTTTTATAGGGATGAAAAAATATAGCCGTCAGCATTATTTCCTCTGAGGTGAGTGGCAAGAGGATGAAACTGTTCCCTAAATTTCTATACAATGAATAGCTGTCTGTTAAATGGGAACTGTCACCTTCCCTTCCAGGATGTTTAATAGTGTTTGCTTATTTCAGTTTTTGACAAATATGTATTTGTGAGTTGAAAAATCTAATAAAGATATGCACACCTTGTTATCCTGTAATTTGATGCCTCCATCTTACCTCTCTGTACCTCAGGTAAGAAGAAAAATAAAGTTTTGCTACTTACATCACAGGGACTTCTGGCACCACAACTACTTCATAATATTAATTTAAATACATTTTTGTGACCTGCTTTTGTACATCTATTTTATTTTTTTCCCCAATTATTTGGCGAGTACTATTCATTTTATATATCTGCGGTAAGTGAAGAAAACTGAATGTTGAATGAAGTAAAGAACAATTAGCACTGTAGTAATCTTTCTACATATTAGAAGGAAAATGACAGCAAAAAGGCTTGGTATAGACACAGCAGCCCTGATAGAGTCTGTACTCTGAACGGATTTATATCCTCTTGTTTCTCCGACTTATTCTCTCATTTCCCATTTTGTCTGTACCTGCTTATTTTCAGCTGTACCTTGTCCCACAGACTTACATAAGCCACTTTTAGATGGCACCTGCTGGATATACAATACAAAACCAAAAGCACTTTCTGGCACATTATCCCAACTCCCTATGCACATTTCAACAATTTTTTAGTATTATTGCAATGGCCATTAGAGATTTTCACTTGCTAGCATCAAGGTAAATCATTTTGGTGAGTCATACACTAACAATTCACCTTGCTGCTTTCAGCTAAAAGTTAAAATCTGTAATTAGACAGGAGTGGGCATTCTAACAAATGCCTACAAACTGACCCTTAATAGGGCACACACCGTGTGGGCAGCAGACACCTTCTGTCTCATTAGATATTTTGCCTTTTAACTGAAACTTACAAGTAAATTATTAGTGTAGGAAGTTTGTCTTGATTTTTGGCTGTTGAGCTTACACTTTAATTGTCGTTGCAGTGGTAGCAAAAACCTTTGTTATTTACATTTGGATACATTTTTTTCTCTTGTTTATAATTAGTATTGCCATTGCAGCTGCCAACGAGTAATGAGAGTTAAAGCACAGAGCTAATGTTTGAGTTTTTACATCCACAGTATAACTTAATGTGACCAACAGACTCATAATTAGGCCTTTTCACTCATTTCTGGTAAGTTAGCTGCTTTGTCACCAAACCAGTAGCCTTTACCTGAATCCACTTGTGGTTGGACAGACTGACTTTACATGCTAGAGTTCCTAAAACTGTACATCAAGGCGCACTTGGACACACGCTATCATACCTCCCAAGTGTTCCTATTTAGAAGGACCAAATCCCTCTGTCCCCTTTTACCAGAAACACCATATTATTGTTAGTGTGTTTGAATGTGTAACAGAACTCCACAGCTATTATACACATAGTAATGAGCATTTAAACTACAATAAATGTGTTTAAAAAACAGCCTGTGTAAATATACAGCCTGTGTAAATATGATACATAGTTTCTGCTTTAAATCACATTTAATTTGCAAAACTTGTAAGTCACCTAAAATTTCTCAGAAGAGCCCCATCTCTGGTCACCCTTCCGCTCACACCCCTAATATAAAAGTGTCCCTCTGTCTAATTAAAGTGTTGGAATGTATGTTTCTGTATTGTACAGAATCTTGCAATGAAAGTGACTATTTTTTGGAATTAGTTTTGACTTTATACATCTATGATAAGATGGTTACATCTTGGTGGTCTAGGGGTATGTTTACCTTTTTAACCACTTACACTTGTGTAGTATTGAAGCTGTTAGTGAGTGTCAGTTTGGATCAGTATGGAGAATAAATATACTTTATGGATGTAGTGCAATCTCAGTCAGCAATTGCTGTAAGTTCAGAAATGTCCCTTCACGGATAATATATGATGTTATTATAGTTTAACATTAGGGAATTTATATGGCCTATATTTTGTCTTTCTGGAATTTAACAATGTCCTTTGAATTCTTGGCCTGTTTTCTTCCTCACGTACAGAGTGTCCTTGGATAAAGGTCTTATAATAAGAAAGGACTCCAGGCTCCCTCTGATTCTGTCTCTTGGTCTCTTAATAGTTCATTTATCTCCTCTCTCTTTCTCTAGCTCATTTTTGCACTTTCTTATTTCTTTGTGTATGTGTCACTCACTTTTTCATCAGTGTCTCTCTGTTTCTGCCTTTTTACCATCCTTTCTCTCTACATTTATCTTTCAGTATGCGTGTCAGATCTCCTGTGCTCAACTTATGGCTGTCTCTTGCTCTCTGCCTCTCTCTTTCCCCTGTATGTTATGAGCTTAGTCTAGGTACAGTTTTGTACCAAATTTTTTTTAATGCATTATATAGATAAAGTATTAAAAATGTTGGCAAAAAAAAAAGATATTAAAATTAAAAAGTTACCTATTTAAATATAGCTCTATGCACATGAAGATGAAATGTCTAAATCAGGAGCCCTCATTCTGCTATATGGGGAACTGTCTCATTCCCTAATCACTTGTCCAGCAGCAAGGAATTATAGAATAGGTAATTTATCCTTCATCACAGAGGGTGATTGTAACTGCTCAGTAAACTGATAGCAGCCATTTTGTTGCAGTTGTAGGTTTGTACACAACCTGGTTCACTGTTTTGTAAACAAGGCTGTATATTACTATTGATTGAGCTACGTGCGGCACATGTGCAGTTTGTTGCCTTGCGCTCTTGGGGAAAAAAATGCCTCCCGTATTGTGCATAAGTTGTGCATGTGCAACCCACACCATAGAACGAAATGGAGACTGGCAACTAAGAGCCAAGACTACCTCATTAGCAGGGCTCCCAACTGTTCTGCTTTTGGGGTCCTGTCCCTGCTGTTCTACTTTAGTCCCCAGGTTTAGTCCCCACATCTGGGGAAACCAGGGAACTGTAGTTTCGGGGCTGAACGGGAGGCTGTGTGTCAGTCTGCTGTGCTTGACACCAGGCTGACCTACCACTTTCAGGGTGCAAGCATACCCATGTACCATGTTGATACACCCATTATGAATGTTATCAGTGGCACAAGTTATGACACTGGTAAAGCCCCAATTGACTAACCCTTTAACTACTCGTTTGTGCCTGTTTTTCTGTTGCCCAGTTTGAGGCCTCTGTCCTATGGTAATGGAGGTTGTTTTTACACTTTTGTCTGACTTCTGGCGTAACCGAAATATCACCAAAAGTACAGCACAAGGTCTTAAAAGTGCACTCTGACCATCTAGGAATATTTCCAAACTGCTCTGCACATGGTTAGCCCCCATTGGTTGCTGTCTGCCATATCTCTTCTGATTTTGCATGAACAACGGTGGATATTTATCAAATGTCTGTTCTAAAATGTTGAGAAGAAATATATAAAGTGGAACGTGCGGGCTGGTTTCCATGGTGAATGACCCACGTTTAGTACTTTAGACCACTTGTTAGAACTGAAGTTTGATAAATAAACCCTCCCAATTTTGTTGTTTTTGCCTTTTTGGGGGTTTTGCTTTATGTTTATACAGAATAACTCATTCAGTTTAATGATATAAGTTGCTTTACTTTGGGAATTTACTCCGAAATCTATTTTTACTTTTGTATTTTCTGTGTTTTCAGACTTTGTACATGAATCTCTTTCAGTCTGTCTGGTTTGAACGGATATAAAAGAAATAGAATGAAAATAAGAATGTTTTTTTAATGAACTTTCTGTGCTTGGATAGTTATATAGCTGTGATACATGATTAATTCATTGTATAAAAGATAAATGTATTTATTTTTAGTGATTCCAAACATTTGTACTGAAAGATGATATCGTCCCATTGAAATGCAGATAAGCTTGCTGCTACCAGATCTCATTGAGGCTCTTTACAGAGGGACTACATTGATAAAGGCTACAATACGAAAGCTGAGAAATTCTTTCTACAATGAGTAAAACTTCCTTATTGTGCACTTTCGTTTTTTATTATCTTGTCTTTTGAGGTGCAAGTGAAATTATACTCCTATCAGCATTGTGCACTGCTTTATCTTCCAAATTAAAATTCACTTAAAGCGCTATAAATATTTACGCTCTTTTGAATAGATCACAGTGCAAGAAGCTCCCCGAAGCTTCCAGCATTCTGCGTTTTTTACAGCAATAGTATTCCAAAGTCTCTGCTCCGCTGTGATGATTGCGTTGTAATTTAACCCAGATTTTAATAGTTGCATGCAAAATACAATCGCTATAAATAAAGCTGATTTGATCTTGTATGAATTCTGTTCTCGAGCAATATTTTTGAGTCCTCACCTTCTAGAAATATATATAGGTCCTTTGAAACAAAATCACAGAAAGCCCCAATGCAATCTAAAAAACACAAAAGGCAACAACATAAAACTCTAGGTACAAGAATAAATAAAACATACACTTCTAAATGCAGGAGTGTTTTTATTCCCCTATGTCCTCAAGCTCACATTTTATAAGATTGTGCTTGATTTGCAAAAGTGCCCAGCCAAAAACAATGCTCCATTCAGGAGTTCTTCACTTCAATACAGATTTTCTGGGTTGCAGCTTCTCATTGAACTTTGAATTATCACTATTCATGTGCAGGTAAGTTCACCCACTCCCAAAGGGTGATACATTTGACAAGTTGAGATGAGGCTACCAATGAGGAAATCTAAAGGTCTAAAAGATGCATATTGTCAGATGGTATTCAGATAGAAAGGTATTGGAAATGTGGAAGAGGCATTTGCATGAAATTATGGAAACAGTTATGTAATATTTACAAAAGTTGTCTTTTCGCTGAATATCCAGACATCTTTGTTCACTGAACTACACTCAGCAAAAAAAAATTTCATCTGCAAAATATTTTATTTTCCGTTTCAAACAAGCTTTATTTGTGTCATCAAATTGTTTACAACTGTACGATTAGTAGGTAAAGTGAGAGACACGCAGGTCTTGTGTAAACATGGTTAACAATCTTACAAGCATGTTTTAAGGAATCATCCTTGCCATTAAACCATGTAAATATTTTATTTTCCAATATATCTTTGTTTGCCCTGCCAAATTGTAGCTGTCCTTTAAATATTTTTATTTGTACGCAATCCCTTTTTTTCCAGTTGAAAACTTTCACACCATGCATATTGCAAATGTCAACAAATTTAATTTATAGCAAACTACGAGCACAGAAACGTAACTCATTTAATGTTTGAAATGGGTCTCTCATGGCATTGGGGAAGCCAGTGCCTGTTCAGTAATCAATTTATTGTGAGCAGTTGCCGGAGGCATGACAAATATTATTTGTCTGTACCATTCAAGGGGGGCCCAAATTAGTTTGTTTTAGCCACAGGACAAAAAGATATCATAAATTTGATTGTAATCGTTTTTTAAGCAAACATTAACCTCTTTGTAGCAAGGAAAAACTGACATGTTGTATGATTTGCTAAAGGGTAAGATAACCATCCCACCCAAACTGGCCTCAAAGATTAGTTACCTAGATAACAGTGGAGTGATGTGTTTTATTACTTGAGGCAAAATAGACTACCAACTAACCCAAGTCTGATTTAACGAATCTGAATTAGTTGCCTGTTTTTTTTTTTTTCTGGTCAAAAAAGTCTTTCTGACAGTTTTTACCTATGTTTGCAGCTACTCTTGTCTTGGGAGGCCCCACCATTTTTATAATTATCCTGAATTTCTTTAGGGCCCCTTCTCATTATAGATACAGAGTAGCTGTGTATAGAGAAAGGAACTGTTAATGCACAATGAAAAACTTCCAGTTTACTTTGTGGTTGCTAGGGAGACCTAAACTTTGAGACCCCCCACTTTCCTGTAAAATCTAGAGAATGCATACACCACATGCATGCAAAATAGCCTTTATTGTTATGTAATGTATGTGCCATGAAGTCTTGGAAGTCACAAGTTAATCTTGTTATGTGTTTGGGAGGAAATAAGAAAAAGTTATTCTTCTAGTTGTCTAATAAATTTGCATATGTGTTAATAGATAGATAGATAGATATACACACGGCATTCACAAGTATTCAGACCCCTTATTTTTTTCTCATTGCAACCTTATGCAACAATTGATTAAAGTAAAGGGATACTGTAGTGCCAGAAATACAAAGCTGTATTCCTGGCACTGCCTATCCCTCTGCCTCCCCCTCCCTTGTGCCCCTCCTCCCTGGTAAATAAAGGGTTAAAAACCTTTTATTTACTTACCTGACCCCGGCGCCGATGTCCCTCGGCGCTGGGTCAAAGCTCCGCCCCTCCTCCGTCCTGTGACGAGCGGGGTCTAATGCGCATGCGCAGCAATTGCCGCCCACACATTAGACCTCCTCGTAGGAAAGCATTGAATCGATGCTTTCCTGTGGGGAAAATCTGACTTGGAGGTCCTCATGCAGAGCGTGAGGACGTCCAGCATCAGATAACAGACCAAACGTCCGTTACAATTCCTGAAGCCCTCTAGTGGCCGTCTGGTAGACAGCCACTGAGGGCAGAGTTAGAGCTGCAATGTAAACATTACACTTCTCTGAAACTACAATGTTTAACATTGCAGCACTAAATGCAAAAGGGACACAGCACCCAGACAACTAAATAAGCTGAAGTGGTCTGGGTGTCTACAGTGTCCCTTTAATGTTTGTTTTTGTTTTCACATCAATCTTCACTCAACACCCCATAATGAAAAAACAGAAAAACATATATTTTTAGTCCATTGCAAATAAATGAAACATAAAAGGATGAAATACCAAATTAACATAAGTATTCAGACTCCGAAGTCAGTACATAGTTGAAGCACCTTTGGCAGTGATTACAGCCTCAATTCTTTTTGAATATGATGCAATAAGCATTGCACACCTGGATTTGGGTCTGACATTCATCTCTGAAAATCCTCTCAAACTTTGTCAGATTAGATTGGGACCATCCATGGATAGCCATTTTCCTATCTCTCCAGAGTTTGATTAAATTCATGCCCGGTCTCGAGCTCTCTGTGACATTTACAGAGTTTTCTTAAAGGCACTCTTGCATTATCTTGGTTGTGTGCTTAGGGACACTATCCTGTTGGAAGGCAAATCTTCAGCAAGTCTGAAGTCCTGACCACTCTTGACCAGGTTTTCATTAAGGATGCCAATGTATTTGCTCTGCCACGGAAAAACACCCCCATAATGCTGCCCCTTTCTTATGGTATTGCACGGGTGATGAGCTGTACCTGCTTTCCTCTAGACATGATGCTTTGAATTGAACAGTTCAATATTTGTTTGATTAGGCCAGGGCATCTTGTTTCTCAAGATGAGAAACCTTTCAGTCCTTTATTTGCTAATTCCAAGCAGGATTTCATGTGCCTTGCTGTGAATAGAGGCTTCCAGTTCAGTGGGGCGTTTTTAGGAATGGTTGTCCTTCTGCAAGCATCTTCCTTCTCTACACGTGATCTCTGGAACTCACCTAGTGTGACCATCAGGTTCTTAATCACCTTACCAAAGCCATTTTTTTCACCAACTGCTTGGTTAAGTCAGGTTGCCAGCTCTAGATAATCCTTGATGTTCCAAACTTCTTCCATTTAAAAGTTATAGAGGTCAAATTTGTGATATCTTTTTGTCCTGTGGCTAAAACAAGTTTGGGAACCTTCTATGCAGTGACATTTTTTACAGTCTTCCTGAGATCTATACCTTAGCACATCCCTGTCTCTGAGCTTTGCAGGCAGTTCCTTTGACTTCAAGTTCAGAAACCTCTCAGAGGTTATCCAGAGAAATGGGATACACCTAAGCTAAATTTCAAGTGTCAAACCAAAGGGCCTGAATTCTTATGCAATTGTGATATTTCTGTTTTTTCTTTTTAATAAATTTGAAAAGTTTTTTAAAAATCTGCTTTTTTTTTTTCATTATAGGGTATTGAGTGTAGATTGATGTGAAAAAAAAATATTTAAACAATTGTAGCATGGGGTCTGAATACTTTAAGAATGCACTATGTGTATTTAATCTACTAAGATTAATAGCAAAGCAATATGTTTAAAACTATTAATAAAAAGTAATAATTCACACCTTAAAATAAACACTGCAAGAAAAGCAATGAAAGATGTATTGAACAATAGATTACAGAAATTAAGTAGAATAAAAAGAAGCAACTAAAAATACATTTATATGTAATTCTAAAGTTCTGTGCTGAAGACAGTGCAAGTAATTGCAAGACGAATGTAGAACACGCTATGTATATAGTTGTAAATTCTTGTGAATATAAAAAAATTTCACTCACAAGGTCCATGTGATTATTTGTCCGTGAGTAAGATATTCACTAAATCAGAAAATAACCAATTAAGTTAGAATTTTATCCATCATAGTCATGCTAGAGATATCAATCAGTTGAATAATGTTCCAGGTTGTCTTTTTCCTAAAATGTGAAATCCCTTTGAGATTTCCTAGCAAGTCTCAGTTTAGTGAATATTCCTGGGAAATGTTGATACGGGATCTGAGGATGCAGAGTTACACTGATGTATAGCACTGAGGGCTTAGATCTCTGTTTTAGGCACATTTTGGAGTCTTTTGTTAATGTTATTATGGTACGTAGGGTAATTTTTCTTATGCATTTTTCCTGTGCTTGACAATCTTGCTATTTTAACAAAGGAGGTGGAGCTTGCTTTACGCTCCAATCTTTGTTAAGATTGTCGTGTAGGAAAAATAGAAAAGACAAAGCAGTCCCTACTATGATCTTATCAAATGGAAATACAGGTAACGCCAAGAATAAAATACTTCAAATACAAGAGCTTTTAGTAATAAAAACAGTAAAATGCACACAAGATATAAAAAAGTCCTAAAAATAAAATTAGAAAAAAATACCAAATGGTAAGGCACAGTCTCAGAGGTAACAACAAATACTTGTGTGGCACTTATTGGGTAGCTTCGCTTGATAGCAGCATATGAAAAGGAAGGAAAAAACAAAGGCGAACCAATAGTGCAATATGATTGTAAGTAGTAGGACACACGACACTTAAAGGACCACTATAGGCACCCAGACCACTTCAGCTTAATGAAGTGGTCTGGGTGCCAGGTCCCTCTAGGATTAACCCTTTCTGCTGTAAACATAGCAGTTTCAGAGAAACTGCTATGTTTACCTATGGGTTAATCCAGCCTCTAGTGGCTGTCTCATTGACAGCCACTAAAGGCGCTTCCGCGCTTCTCACTGTGATTTTCACAGTGAGAAGACGCCAGCGTTTATAGGAAAGCATTGAGAATGCTTTCCTATGAGATTGGCTGAATGCACGCGGCTCTTGCCGTGCATGCACATTCAGCCGATGACATCAGAAGAGGGAGGAGAGTCCCAGCGCCGAGGGAGCCTGCGCTGGAAAAAAGGTAAGGGATTAACCCCTTCCTCCCCTGTCAGCGCAGCGGGACTGGGACCCTGAGGGTGAGGGCACTTGCAGAATATCCCTCTAATTTTGGTACACAGAAGAGTGGTGGCAAATCACAACTGGATAGCGATGAGTTAGATTATATGAAATGACAAAAAAGCAGTCAATAGTGCTCTCTATATAGGTAAGTATAAGTAAGACAAAAAAAAATATGCTTACAATAAAATGAGCAGACTAACCACATGTATCAAGCCTGGGTGGTATGATCCCCACCAGAAATTCTTTGGCTAGTAGCCTGCAGAAGATTCAAGAAGTCCAGATGTCAGGTAAAGTATAAAAAATTGTATACATTCTAAAAAGTGTATGGCTAGAGACAGGTAATAAGGTAGCCAAAAATACTTTATTAAGAGCAAACGTTTCTGCCCTTAGAGCTTTTTCAAGTGGTTAAAAAAAAAAAAAAAACACTTGTTTAGCGCTGCTCTATCCCCCTGTGTAGTTTTGCACCTACTTGGTCTTATGTTTTAAAGAGATCCGGAATGAAGAAAAGAAGAACTGATTACTAAAGACAAAAAGAAGAGGCAACAATAGGCGAAAGGCATGTTTGAGGAGAGCCACTTTAATCCTACAGTGAGAGACAGTGTGCATGCTTGGCAATCACTGTGCTGTGCAAGCAATGCTTCTCATAGAGAACCTTGGTGTATGCTTTCTCTAGATTTTAGAGGAAAGTTGGGTGTCTCAAAGTTTAGGTCTCCGTAGCAACCACAAGGTAAACTGGAAGCATTAGTTCTCTATGCAAAGCTCTCACATCCACTTTTTCCTGGGGCACAGAAAGAGCACCGTCCTGTTTGACTAATTGACAGTCCGGAGGCTGCAACCCAAACACTATATAAATGTGCAGATTTTTCTTAAAATCTGAAACTCTACAACACTTCTGCAATGGTAAGTGCTTTAGGGCTGTTAAATGTTCCTCTTATGAGATTTGGTTATTGCAGGCAAGCTTATTGGTGTTTCAACTGGATTAAGTTTCAACATAAATGTTTACAACCATTATAAATAAACCATTTAATGATTGTAACAATTCATTGCTTATCACGGTTGCATTGCAAGTTTGTTAAATCTTTTCTTTTTTCTTTTTAATTAATTTCTTCTGCATTCATAAAAACAAATCAGAAAGGCTAAAACATTTTGTAAACAAAGTCTAACAACATAGAAAATACAAAAGTAATGATTGGTTTATCATTATTTTCCTGTGTTCTGATTAGCAGTGGAGTAGTTTATAATATCTTTAGACTTAAAGGACAGCTATAATCATATTTAATTTAATGATATTTAATTATATTTCTTTTACAATGAGTCTCTTGTGTATGAGAGTGTGCTCTGTGCATGGCTAGTATAAATTATTTTCTTCTCTGATTCGAGTTGCTGAAGGGGTAAAAACCCCTTCAGTGACTTACCTGTATCCTGCGCCGATGTCCCTCGGCGCAGGTTCAGGGTCCGCCCACGCTCTTCCCCCGCCTACGTCATCTGGCGGGGGAGACCTATTCCGCAATGCCGCGAACGCACTTTAGATCTCCCTATAGGAAAGCATGTTCCATTATGTTTCTACTCCTTTTCCTAAAGGAACACTATAGTCACCTAAACAACTTGAGCTTAATGAAGCGGTTTTTGTGTGTAGATCATGCTTCCAGGTTTCACTGCTCAATTCTCTACCATTTAGGAGTTAAATATCTTTGTTTCTGTTTATTCAGCCATTGCCACACCTCCCCTGGCTCTGACTGACACAGCCGCATAAAAAAAAAACTGGTTTCACTTTCAATCAGATGTAATTTACCTTAAACAATTGTATCTCTTTCTCTGTAAATTGAACTTTAATCACATACAAGAGACTCTTGCAGGGCCTAGCAAGATATTAACATAGCAGGGAATAAGAAAATCTAAATTAAACAGAACTTGCAATAAAGGAAGGATAAACTGTAGATGACTCTTTACAGGAAGTGTTTAGGAAGGCTAGGGTTCATAAACAAAGTGATTTAACTCCTAAATGGCAGAGAATTGAGTAGTGAGACTGCAAGGGCATGATCTATACAACGAAACAGCTTAATTAAGCTAAAGTTGTTTTGGTGACTATAGTGTCCCTTTACCTTCTTAAAGGGACTCTCCAGTGCCAGGAAAACAAACTGTTTTCCTGGCACTGCAGGTCCCCTCTCCCTCCCAACCCCCATCCCAAGTTGCTGAAGGGGTTAAAACCCCTTCAGTGACTTACCTGTATCCAGCGCCGATGTTCCTCGGCGCTGGTTCAGGGTCCGCCCACGCTCTTCCCCCGCCGACGTCATCTGGCGGGGGAGACCTATTCCGCAATGCTGCGCACGCACTTTAGACCTCCCTATAGGAAAGCATTGAAAAATTCTTTCAATGCTTTCCTATGGGGATTTCAGTGATGCTGGAGGTCCTCAAATAGCGTGAGGACGTCCAGCGACGCTCTAGCACGAAATGTGTGCTATAAACCCGGAAGTGCCCTCTAGTGGCTGTCTAGTAGACAGCCACTAGAGGATGAGTTAACCCTGCAAAGTAAAGTTAACCCTGCAAAGTAAACAGTTGCAGGGTTAAGGGTAGTGGGAGTTGGCACCCAGACCACTCCAATGAGCAGAAGTGGTCTGGGTGCCTGGAGTGTCCCTTTAAGTATATATGGTTACATGGGTACATAAAAAAACAAAATGTTGCGGCAAGCATTGTATTCATATAGCCAGCAGCATTTGTATGCATGTAGCCAGCGTGCTTAACTACACATTACCTAGCCTAGCATGTTTGCATAGCTAAACAGCTCACTTCAGTTCACTCTCTATTTAAAAAACAATGGTGCATGTCATGCTTTCCCTCTTTGTCACTCCTCTGAGCATTTCTCCTTGACATGTATGACTTGCTAGCTTACTTAACCCCTTAAGGACCAAACCTCTGGAATAAAAGGGAATCATGATATGTCACACATGTCATGTGTCCTTAAGGGGTTAAACAAAAATGAGAAATCTAACTGTTGAAACCTTGCTTCTACTAAAACAAAAAATGTGCCTGACAAGCAAATGTCCCAACTTGAACTTCTATATACCTTGAAACCGCTGTTGTGGCGTACCAAGACCGTTAATTTTGAGCACAACAAAAATTTAAAAAATAATTAAAAAAAAAGTATACATTTCAATGGCTCTACAGTTTTGCACACTAATGACTTATTTTCTGCTAAATCTTAAGGTCATTACTCTCTCTCAATTCTCCTCGACCGCTCTGCTGCTTTGACATTGTTGAGCATCCTCTTCTTTTAAACCCTTCACTCTGTGACACTCTGTGGTTTCCTGGTTTCCATTCATCTACTCTGTCTGTCTGTCTTTCTTTTTTTTTCTTTTTTTGACAGTCTTTATTTACATATAATTTTTGACACAGGAAGGTAATGGGAATAAAACAAGAAGAGATAAAAGAGCATGTGATAAACATTGTCAGTACAAAGACCCCATCGAAAGTCAAACATTTAGACCGTAAATGAGTGCCAAAATAAGATATGGCACTAAATTGAGTGACAAAATAAATCAAATTAGGAAATACAAGCAAATACATAGAACTAAATTAATGAAAATATAAGTATAATGGATAGCACTCTGGCATGTTCCAGAGCAGTATTCATTATTTTAAAACCCTTTGGTGTTCTACCAAGTGAGTCAATCCCTTCAAACCCTGTGAAGACCTAATTAAGTACCGCAATGCACAGACCTGATGTTTATTCATAGGCCTCTTGTCTCCTAGGAACGACTAAGTGCCTGTCTACATGGTTCTTGGAACCAGTAGCCCCACCTCTAGTCATATATGGGGTTCGTTGAAGTGCCATAGTAAGGAAATTAAGAAGAAAGTGAAAATCTAGGGTAGTGAGGATAAAAGAGGTTGATAAGGGTAAACTGAATTTAGCATAAATGAAGCTGAGAATGCTCCCATGTCAATCCTAAAGTGGAGAGAAAACAGTGAAGAAAAGAATGCTCCAATGCCACCTGCGCAACCCCCATCATGTGTTAATCTTGAATTTCCTGTCCAGCCCCCTTCTGGCTCAGCTCGTCAGGAATCCCTGTCTGTTCCCTTGATGTGTATTCTAGCCAAGGGTACCATGTCTGTGCTTGTCTATCACTAGTGTTTTGGGACACTGCAGTCATAGATTCCGCTGCCTCTATCTCCACTACCTTAGCTAGCCAGTATTGTACTGAGATTTCTGTGAATGATAGAGGAATGATAGATTTGGCTGCAATAAGGAGGAACCAGAGAAATAATATTTTATGCATAAATAGGGGAAGACTAGAATGGTGTGGGAGGACATTTTGGACACAAAAAGCGGTGCAATGGTAACTTTGACCCCCTCCCAAAAGGTAGCGAGAGTAAGCATGAACACAAAATGTGGAGAAGGGTTCCAGGTGATTCACCACAATGCCAACATAGAGGAGAATTCCTGGGATTGTTTTGTGAAGGCTGACTGGTGTTCAATACCAAAAATATAGGATTTTAGAGTTTGCATCATGAAATTTGGTACATGCTGTCCTGCAATGGTTAAGAATCAAGATTTCAGACCACTGTTTATCTGAGAACAAGACCTCCAGAGCCTCCTCCCATCTCATCCTAACAGCGTCTGGGAAGACTCTAGCTTGTGTGAGTAACAACCGATTCAGAAAAGATATGCCTCGTTCGATTGGACTGCCTCTAATGCACAACACCTCAAAGGTTGTGCTATCTCTACACAGTGTGGAATTATTTGTAATGGACGATTGTAATAATGTAATAATGGGGCCCAGAAAAGCCAGCCCACATGTGGGAATACACTACACAAGCTCAGGATTGTGTGTAAGGTGTAGAAGAGGACTGGGTCAGGGTGCAATTGGTGTGTGTCTGCTGCTCTGGAACTGATTGTGGAGAAAATCGAACTAAGTGGGGTTATCTGTCTGGGAATTGAGTTAAAACTCAACCACACTAAGTCATTCAGTTGGAGGGAACTCAAATCATGCTCCAGTGCCAACCAGGGTTTTGTAAATCCACCACATTCCATTCTTGCACTCTCTGTAAATGCGTGACTTCATAATATAATTGAAAATGTAGTAGAGCTAATACTCGTAGCCATTTAGGAAGGCTTAAGACGTTTTGTCTATGAGATCCTTTCCACACAGAGGCAATTGCTGCACCCAGGAGAAGTGACAAAAGTTTGCAGAAGCTAAATGGGGATTGTATGAAACAAATATAGTATGCACAGTAAAATATAAATTTTGAGAATGTTGATATGGCCAAACCAAGAGAGATGTTGTACGGTCCATTTGCAGAGATTTCATTATAACTCGTTTAGCAGATGTAAATGAGTACTCTGGTACGTTTTAGAGTTAAAGTCAGTGGTCAACCAGACACCCAGGTATTTTATTTGGTCCCTACACGATGTAAATAAAAAAAATAGGTTGCCAAGTCACTATTCCTCTGTGGGGATTTTTTAAAACCTAAAATTTAGTGCGCTTAAGATTGGATAGTTGTTCATACTAGTCAAGTTCTACGAGTAGGTTGGGAAGAGTAGTTTTGTGTTCCATCTGGCCATGATTGTCTCTACTAATGCTGACATTACTTCTTACTGCCTGTAAAAGTGGCTCAAGTAAAAGGGCAAATAGTATTTGGGACAGAGACCATCCTATCTTTCTAAATGCTCATTAAGTGTATCCTTCTCTGGTGCCACCTCCTCTCCACTGTCTCAGTTGGTGTTCTCCGCGGTTGCCAACTTCCTCTCTCAGTAATCTTATTAACTTTTTTTAAATTTTAACACCATCCATATGCTAAAATTAGAAATGCCACTCTTCCCCCACCTCTCTTCTTCCCTCCTGGAACATGTCTCAAACTGCCGCTCTTCCATCCACAACTGGATGTCTTGAATTGAACTCATCTTACCCCCTTCAACTATCTCCCTGCATGTCAGTTAGACACCGTTTACCCCTAGCACTAATGCTTGCTGCCTTAAAGTTACTTTTGACTCAGGTTTTTTTTTTTTTTTAATTCTTTATTTTTGTTGTGCACAAATTAACAAACAGCCTCAGTATGCCACAACAGCAGTATTGAGGTATATAGAAATTAACTATGCAATACAAGATGTGACAGTTGATGTTTAGGCACAATTTTTAAAGAGTAAACTTTAGATAAGTCAGACTAGTGAGTTCAAGAATAGTAGGCTAAGTTGAGCTGATAGTTTAGGTTATTTAGTTAGCACTTAAGTAGTCAAACATGGTCTAAAACTTGCACATTAACTTTAGGAACAGCAAGCAGAGTTTAACACGTGCTAGGCAAGTATAGGTTCATATACCACATGCTCATAGTGTCACGACAGCAGATACAAACTCAACCACAGCATATATGTGGAATTACAAGCCTGGCAGTAGAAAAGTCATGTATAATGATATATTGCATCAGCGGGCAGTAGGTGTCCGCAGATCTTGACCCTTTATAAAAGGAATAAAAGGTTATATGCATATATATATGTAGAAACAAAAAAAGAAAAAAGAAAAATTTATAGAACATGGCAGCATTGAAGGGAACAGCACTCCGACAGTTCCTTGGTAACAGTTATGGCGATTCAGAACTGTCTCTGGTGTTAGGCAGGTGTCTCTTGGTCGGACTGCTCTGTTGTTTCGCTCTTCCCATGGCCTTTTTCTCATGTGTTTTTCCCCCTCGGTTTGTCTCTTCTGGCATGTTGGCGGTTGGTCGGGCCAGTTTGTTAAAGAGAGTCTCTGGGTTATCTGATGAAGTTAGGGTGAATGTTTCTGTGCCTTGTGTGACGGCCAAAGATCCATCCGCATTCCATCGGTATCTGATGGAGCAGTCCCGCAGCCTCCTAGCCACTGGGGCCAGCTGTCTTCTTTCCGCCAGGATGGTAAATGGGAGGTCGCTGTAGATGGAGAGGTTATGGCCCTCGAAACTCACTTGGCCCATAGATCTGGATTTAGCCATAATAGCGGTCCTCACCGCAATGTCTTTGGTTGTCACAATGACATCTCTCGGTGCGCCTGCTGGTGCCGCTGCGGATTTGCGTATTCGGAAGGCGGCCAGGATGCAAGGTGTGCCTGTGGGGCTGTGAATGCCCATTGAGGTAAACAGCTTTTGAACATATTGCAGCGTGTCCCCCCCCTCAACCTGTTCAGGTAGACCTCTCAGACGCACATTCCGACGCCTGTGTCTGGACTCCAGTGTGAGCACCGTTTTGCTTATTTGTTTAACTTGTGAGGTGAGATCCTCCACATGTTGTGTAGTGGTCTGGAGCTGAGCGTCCCTGGCTTGTTCTCTGCTCTCCATTGCAGACATCTCATGCTGCAGGGCCTTGACCTCAGTTTGTGTTTCCTGGAGGTCGGCCTTCCACATTGTTCTCAGATCGAGGAGCAATTTTTTAATATCTCCCTTTGTGGCGGGGGATGAGTCCTCATCTGAGTTAGTTCTCTGGTACACTCCATCTGGGTGAGGAGAGATGGTATAATCCTCTTCTTCAGGGGAGTCATCAGAGGCATCTTGCTCACTGTATTGCTCAGTTGCCGCCCTTGTGGGTGTTTGCTGGGGTGCCCTCCCAAAGGATAGTCTAATGTCTTGCACTGCAGGCCTGTCTGTCTGGAGCTGTCTTTTATGCTTGCGCCCCATATCGTCTGTGGGTATGTGTATGATACCGGGATCTCCCTCTCCGGTGGGGGGGGGGGTTGGTGAGGCAAATCTCTGGTGGGGTCTACTGTGGGAGCTGAGTCACCCTGTACCTTAGCAGGGGGAATGGCCACTTCCCGCCTGCCCGCATGTGGTAGGCCCCAACTCGTGCTGCAGACCCGAGTGATGGGGCTAGCGCTGCAGTTGTTGCTCCAGGCAGTCTCCGGGTGACTCCCCAGCTGCTCGTGGTTGGACCCGGTACGAAACAGCTTGATCAAAGCTGTGTTTTCTCCCAAATCGTCGCGGTGTAGGCGGAGCTCCAGTAAGTTGCGACCGCTCAGCTCCGCTGTTAGGCTCCGCCCCCCTTTGACTCAGGTTTTACCTTTTCACCTCACATCCAGTCTATTTCTAAATCCTGTAACTTCCATCTTAAAAATATTTCCACAACCCTTTTCTAACTCAAGATACAACTAAGGCACTTGTTCATGCACTCATTGTCACTCAAGTCTTACCCCAACACGCAGAAAAGTGGAAACCCACAAAAGGTGGATCCAAAGATGTATTACTGAGCCTTACAATGGCCAGACTTAACATATTAATACAGCAAGAAACAAGGTTAAGATAAATCAAGGTCAATATTAGAGAAATACTCAAAGTCAAGACAAAGCCAGGTCAGGATCCTGGAAAATAACGAAGACAATTACGAAGCCGGGTCAGGATGTCAGAAATCACAAGGTCAATATGAAGCCGAGTTCAAACACAGAAAATCACCAGGAAATCACCAGGAGCACAAAGCGAGGATCTATACAGAAACCACGCAATGAATATAGGCTAAAACAAGCCTTAGATAGGCTCAAAAAAGTTCCCATTGGTCCACCTCGTCTCTGCGACCCCAAACAGCATTGGGTCGCCTAGATTAGTGGCCCCCAACCCACTCCCCGTGGACCACGAACAGTCCAGGTTTTGTCAGTATCTCACACTTGAAAAAAAAAGGGAAATACATAAATCCTGGACTGTTAGTGGTGCATGAGGACTGGGTTGGGGACCTCTGGCCTAGATCACATGGTCCTTTTAAGGTCATGGCAAAATATTTTATTCATAGGGGCTGCAGCTCATCAGGTGAACGGCTCCCTCTGCTCCCTCCTCTTACTTATGAAGGTAAGTAATATCTATTCAGGCCACACAGCCACATGGAGCGTTTGGGCCACGCGGCCTGAGGACTACAGTTATGCCACCACGCAATACATTCTGCCTGTGTTGCCCGAGGAGGGGAGCGGTGCGGGCCCCAGGTACAGATAAGTCCGTGACACTCATTCACTTACACTTAATCATGCACATTTCCCATCTTGACAATTTCAGCTCACTACTTATTAGCCTTCCAAATATACACATTTCTCCTCTTAAGTCTGTAATGAATGCTACCTCCAAGTTCATCTTCCTGATTAAACTACTACTCCCACATCTCACCTCTTTCTCAATCGTTACATGAGCGTCCTATACCCTCAGGAATGCAAGTCAAACTGCTAACACTAACCTACAAAGTCCTTAATAATTCCAGTCCTCACTATATTTCCTCTTGAGTCAACAAATACACTGCTATACTTGTTCCCTATGCTCTGCTAGCAACCTTCTCTTGTCATTTCCACACAGCCAACTCTCATCTGCAGGATTTTTCAAGGACTGACCCATTTCAATGGAATTCCCTACCCCATGTCATCAGATTCTCTTTTAGCCTCCAGTCCTTTAAGAAGTCCCTGAAAACACACCTCTTAAGGATAGCCTACTCTCTTCTAGATGACACTTCTCTTATTGCCCTCTTCCATTCCCTCTCTTCCATAGCCCAGCTCATTCTCTCTCCTTCCACTGTTATCTTGTTCTACACACCACTTTTGACTTTTTCAACATAGGCATCTTATCCAACAATTCCTTCTCCCCTCTGACATGCTGTTCTTCCTCTAAGCTCAGTTGAGCAGGGCCTAAATGTCAGGAATGGAATAGGATCCAACACGCAGAATGTTGATAAAGGGTAACATATACCGGACCTTAGAATGGCCGGACTAATGTATAAGAACAAGGGGTAGTCAAATTCATGCTGAGATCAAGGATAAGTGAGTAAGCCAAAGCCAGGTCAAAGGAGTACAGAATGAAGAGTAGTCAAAAACGAAGCCATGATCAAAAGCTGGAATACAGAATAGGAACTAGCACTATAGGGAACAAAAATGAACCACAACAGGGCAAAAAACCTAGCCATTTGAGTCCTTTTTATACTGTGGCTTGTTAGGATGGTAGCCATGCCTCAAAACTTCATAATCCAAACCTTTCGGCGGAATGAGTCATGACGTCGACGCCCCCTTTTCGCATCATTAAAAGGGGTAGGGCTATTGCGGCCAGCGTGAAAACGGCTGGAGATGGAAGAGGAAAGCTGAAGGGGACCTGCAACATCATGTGAAAGGTGAGTACCATGAGGGACAACCCTGGTCACCACAGAAGGGACCCTGACACTATGTCACCAATTGTCTCTGTATGTGGATTACTTGTTGTCACATATCCCCATTCTATTATTGTAAAGCTCTGTTGAATAAGATGGTGCTCTAAATGCTAATAATAATTATTATAATCTAATGCGGATGGACTAGTAAGGGCAAAGGAAGGCGACATCACTGCCTTGCTGAGGTTGATGGCGACAGCTGGAAAGAAGGTTTGCCACCCAAGTTAAAGTGTTAAATAATAGGTGAAAGGGGGTAGTGGGGAAACAAAACATAAATTGGTGTCACAGTAAGGGCACAGAGTCAGATGGAGGATAAAACAATTACAGTCCATGACAAAACCACTTTAAGCTATGAAGTCCAAAAGAAGCAGACAGCAGATGTAGCCTTTTTTTCTTCATTTAAAAATATCCCAGTAGTCTAGCTTTTTTAGCCCAAATGAGGAAGTGACTTATCCAGTCATGATGTGCACTTAACTTTCAAAAGCACTACTGTGCTTTTCCCACAAGCAGTATTTTGTGTACACAGTAGGAGTTGCTGATAACAGTGGTTATTGTACATCATTATTATTGAATCAAAAAAGGAAACAAAGTAGGTTGTGGCAGGAGTGGCAGAAAGGGTGGACTTATGGAGCAAAACAAATTGTTATTTATCAAACAAACACTTAGCATAACTAACTATAACTTAACCTATGCCTTGCGCTTTGCGTCTTACTTGTGTAGGTGCCATAAGTGCCCCTTTATTATGATTTTCCCGCAGCAAAGCATTTAGTACAGTCAGCATACTATAAACTGACTCAGCTTTTAAATGGTGATTCATCATGTGATAAGTCAGCATTTCAAGCAAATGTATGATGATGTGTTTTGAATATCACTTGTACGTAATATGAGACATGCTCAAAGTTCTTTATTCTGCCATCCGGCAACACTGCACCATACAGTACTGGAGCTGGGAAGAGCATGTGTTCTCAAATCCGAAGTGATCCCTTAAAGCTGTAACAGGGAGGCTTATCTCGTGTACATTAATCCCAGTCTCGGGGATTCAGTTTTACCTTGGTGAACTTAGGAGACCTCGGTCTTAAATTTAAAGACCCTTTTGTCTCCAGGCTTAAAGTTCTTAAATGAGAAAGTATTTGCAATCTGCTATGCTTTAGTAATGACTCTAATAGTCTCTCTTCACTTTACGGTCATTCAAGAGGTCATTCAACATTCAAAATGTTGATTTTGTGGAACCAAAGGAATTATAAAGCATTAGGAATACAAACCTGTATTTGTAATGCTATTGTGTTCTCTTCATAGTTTAGATTGTGGCCCTAAATCTACTTTGAAAAAAAGGCCAAAAAGGGTATTACTTACCTGTTTACCCTGCAGCTGCCCTCTCCACCTCCCACCTCCTGCCCCTTCCCTCCATGTAAGTATCCAAACGCTTACTTCTTAAGGGTTTGACTTCTTACCTTTTTAGCAGGGTTGAAGAAACTGTTAAACTCTGCAAAATTTTAATAAATTAGACCTGAGTCAGGTGTCATGAATAGCAAAATGAGGATATCTCTGTTCACTTGTAGACCTTCAACATATTTTTATTTTTATCTGAACTTAATCATATGTGTTGCCTCTATATTTCATCCCTTTATTTTGCCTCTCTGGTTGTTGACATAATTTTTGCACTATATTCTCTTTAATCAGTGTAGATCTATGAACATTTCTTAGACCAGTTCCAGTTGGTTTTGTATAATGTCCCAATTTCATCAATTGGCTCACTGTCCACCCAATGCATCAGCTCAGCCTATAAAGTTTATTTGGGTTTTGAATGCAAGGACAAACCTTTGACCTTGCTATTGCTCTTGCTATGTAAATATAACTAATTTCTCATAGTGATTCTTATGGTAGTGGGGAATGGAAGGTAACTGTCCACATCTCACTGCCTACCATCTGTGGAGATTCAAGAGTTGCAATAATAATGCTCACTAATAGTAAAATTATTCATAATCACTTGATTGGCATTTTATAATTATTATATCAGTGGTAATCTAGGCAACCTAGCAATGCCCGCACAAAATATGTGCGTGTCTCTGGACATATCTTGTCTTCATACTGTTTTTACACTGTCCTAGAGTATGCAGCATTCACATGCTGCCATTAATTCAATCACCATTATATGCAAATTGGTTTCCTGCAGTAAGTGAATTTTACATACCCTGCTATATGCTACCCATCAGCATTAAGAAGTAAATACCTACTATTCATGAAAAAGTCAGGTCTAACATCACTCTCTTCCGGGATAGTTAATACTTGAGAGAACAATATCAAAAATCCATTTCTCATTAGTCTTCTGAGAAAGGTTAACGATAAGATCTTATACTCCAAACCAGGCTCCTTACTGTCCTGATCATCCCTCTGAGAATATTTAATTTCCCACTGAAGGAGCTATTAAATAATAAACAGTTAAAACTGCATTACAAAGAGCACTTTAACTGAAAGCTAACTTACTGTCATCAAATTGCAAGCTCTGTAGAAGGTGGTAATGTGCACCTCTAATGTGTTTCTGTTGTTAGTAGGTGATAACATAATCAAGTCAAAGGAGAGATAACAGTAAAGTAGGTTGAAAAAAAATTCAGGCTTTGACTCGTTCCCAATTCAAAACTATTAATCACTTTGAATCTCTTTCCAGTTTGACTAAGGTTAAAAAAAGGAAACAATTAATTCCTCGATTTGTCACAATTTACAGGAAATGTTAACAGCTATTAATAAACCATGCCAGTGTTTGTTTTGTACAAACAAATCAGTGCAGACACAATGCAAATATCATAGTAACAGTGTTATTGAGAACTCAGCAGCCATGTTTATATCCAATGTCTTATTGCTGTTTAACCCCTTATCAACCTGTGTTAAAAAGAAAAGAATTTGCCTAACCTTGAGGGAATTGAATAATAATTTAAGTGGGCACTGCTCCAATAGGTTCAAGCCAATTGGGAATGGAGTCTTATTTTACGGGAGCTGGGGGAGGTGTATAATTCAAGATCATGCGCTTGTTATATAACCTGCTAATGAGAGGGCAGTAGGCTGCAGCAGTCCTATCTTTAGTAAGGTATTCTGATGTAAGGGAGGTAATACACCTCCCTTGTACTAACAGGGGGAGGGGGATATATTGACCCCCATAGGCTTTAAAAAAAAGCTGACAAATGTGCTTTTGATTCTGAAGCACATTTATCAGAGGGTTTTTCTCGAGGATCTTATTACAAGGAGGGAGGAGGTAAACATCCAGACAACATCAATGTAGTAGTCTGAATGCAGTGGCCTTTCAGTTTTTTGCCTGCAATCTAAAATATTGCCATTTAGTAGACACGGCAGTTTTGTGATTGCAGGGTTAACATACCTCTAGGCAGACTCGGTTCTCAATTATATGAGAGCATTTTATTGGTGCAGGGTGACTATTTGCAGCGTATGCGCAAAAGCCTTCAAATGCTTCCCTATGGGTAAACATTGGATTGGCTGAGATCATCATCAAAACTGATGATCTAAGCAAAGGAGGTGGGGCCAGCAACATGGAGGGCTACAAGGTGATTTTCTGTTGGAAATGGGGGAGGAGGGGACAGTTAACTAGTTACTAGGACACTACAGCTTTAGGAATACATGTTTGTAGGGGGGGCTAAGAATGTGAACAGGGTTTTTTAAACACGAGTAGACCAGCTGTATGGAGGTACAGAGGGATAATTGCAATACGGAGATACATTTAAAGCGGCATTGTCACAGTCTAGGGACTTTTCAGAATTTGCAGGGGGCCATTAATGGGAAGTTCTACTTACATGAACCTGTCCCTCGCGGGTGCGACCATATTCCTCTTGCCTGGTTAGCGCCAAGAGCAAACATGACTGCTGGACTCCGTGCTGTGTCACTGCTGTGACTCCCATCACTGTTAGGCAGCCAGAAATACTATTAGTTACGCGAGAGAGTTTGCCAAAGTCTAGTAGGAAACTGTAGAATTCAAATGTGAATCTGTCAGGCTGTGTGTGTATGTGTAACTCTGTGTGTTTATAAATGAAACGCAATTCATGAAGCTATCGTAGGAAATATATTTCAGTCATGTAATATGAAAATACAAAGAAGTAAAGCATGTGCTATTGATAAATATAATATTGGCATTGTGACCTTCTGTTTTATTACATATGATGTCCCCAGAGCTCCTGAATGTCATTATTTTTATTTATACATGTTTCAGTTATGTTCTCAGTCAGTCGTTTGTATTTTGGTCTGTCTGATTATCCACACACTTACCGACTAAAATATAATACATATACAATGATGAAGCAGTGTTAATCCCTACTGGCTGGGCGTTGTAGGATTGCATAGCAAGCATATGTCAATACAGCATTAACATGCATCTCATATGTCCATGATTGTGGTTTCTAAACCTGTAAAGCCCAGTACACGCTGCTGCTTTAAGCTTTGTGTGCTGGATAAACCAGGAATGGACTGAGCTGGATTACTTCTAAAAGGATTTCATTGATCTGCTTTGTAAGCACAACTGTATGGCAAGTATAGTAAGTAACAGGAACTGTAAATCAATAGGTTATGCTAATATAGTAGTACATTGGTAAATAACTGCTTGTATTTCATCTTCTGAAACATTAATTTGATCTGTGTTGTTATATTACTCAATTACATACACTCTAAGAAAATGAAAACCAAGATGAAACTTTTCATTAAAGTGATTCTCAAACATAGTTTGCCTTCAAGATTGAGGTATAGTAAGTTTGAGTTGGTATTGTAGCTTTTTTTCTTTTTTTGTATATTTATATTATTTGCTGTTAGTAGATATAGATATAGAGCACATCGGTTTATAATGTGAACTGCTGGGCAAGAGGCGTAATGAGAAATCACCGGACCCTGATGCGAAAATTGCCCTGGGTCCCCCATGTGTCTCATTCTCCCACCAGCCTCTCCATGTGTCTTATCCCACACCAGCCCCTTCTATGTGCCTCCCCACAACCCCTCCATGTGTCTCCCCCCATCCTTCCATGTGTCTCATTCTTTCCCTTTAGCCCCCCCATGTGTTTCAATCTCGCCCCCCAGTCCCTCCATGTGTCTTATCCCCCACAGCTCCTCCATGTGTCTCATCACACACCAGACACTCCATGTGTCTCATTCCCCTCTGCCCTTTCCTGTGTCTCATGCCCCACCAGACCCTCCATGTGTTTCTCCAACCCCCTCAGACATCTCTCTCACCCCCAGCCTTCCATGTGTCTCTCCCACTCCCCCAGTTGTTTTTTCCACCCCCCAATTGTCACATTCTCCCCTCCAGCCCCTCCAGCCCCTCCAGCCCCTCCATGTGTCTTTCCTGCATCCATCTCCCCTCCTGCACCGGCTCTGTACCTCTATGTAGTGTGGTCAAGCAGACTGAGAGGAAGTGCTTGTTGCTCTCAGTGAGCACTTCCTGTCAGAGCATGGTCCACTTGACCACACTACTTGCTGTGACTGGCAGAAGGGGAGCACTGTGCTGTGCACAATGCCACAGTCACAGGGTTTGACACCAGGTCCTGGAGTTATGGGTGCATTAACAGCTGCGACCACTCCGACTGTGGTAGTTATGCCACCGGCTGGGCATGTTTCTAAATATGGGACATGCCTCAAGTCCAGTTTATGCCAGGAGCCCAAAATGCAGTGTTTTTTTGCCCAAAAATAGCCATTTGGTATGTATGGTAGAGGTATGAGGAAAAAAATGTGTACCTTCTGCACACATCGATACTGTTCAGTTTTCATGTTGAAACTTTGGGTCTGGCATTTGGTATCCAGGTCAAACAACAATATTATTTATGGATTCCATCCATTCTTATTTATGTTTTGTTTGGCTCATCCATTTCTTTACTTGGGAATTTCATTTTCTTTTCTTTTCTGGTTGGGACTACTACTTTTTGCCTGGAATCATTTTATTTCTTACCATGGAAAAATGGGGCTAGAGTGCTTAGTTTGTAGATTGCATTATGAGTGTACATCTGTTACACTTACTACAGTAAACACTCATTGCTTCCTGAGTATTTCCCTTGAGAATATTTAGTGGAGTATAATGCAAAAACCCACAAGTTCTGGGGATTTTTACAGTGTCATGAAAAGTGATGTGTCAAATCTATTTTAAATACAGAATGCTTAGCTGATAAATAAAGAGCATTTTTGGTCTATACGGATTGGTATTGAAGAAAAAAAATAAAATAAAATCAGGTACATAAGCGTGACTTGTGGTTTTTATAAGCAATGTTTATTGGCCTGTCATTGGAATGCTTTTTTGGGGGCCTTTTACAGTAACACTGCCCCCACCCCACATTTTCACAGACATACATGCAGAAAAGCATTTAGAGGCACATTTAGTAATACACAAACACACAAAAGTATATTTAGTGCCATATGTACAGACACACACACAGTTTGGGGCCCCTTATACAACTTAAGGTCTTGGCCCCCAAGGCTCGCCCCTATGTCCACCAACAGGGACCACCCCCGAGAGTGTCCACAAGAATGAGTTAAGTGGATGTAGTGTCTATGTGTATAGAGAATGGAGAGTGTGTATAGTGGACGCAAGGTGTGTGTATCTGTATTGTGGATGCAAAGTGTGTGTGTGCGCGCGCGTGTGTGTGTGTGGTGGATGCAGCATGTGTGTTTTTGTGTATAGTGGATGCAGTGTGTGTCTTTGTGTTAGTGTGTTAGGTCGTTTTCCTGGCACTATAGGGTCATTAGGTCCCCCCCACACTCAGGGCTCCCCTCCCACTTACCTTTCTCCAGCGCCGGGCTTCCTCTGTGCTGGTGAACTCTCCACCCCCTGCCGACGTCAGATCCGAATGCGCATGCGCGTCAAGAGCCGCGTGCGCATTCAAACAGCCCATATGAAAGCATTTCCTATCGATGTCTAGCTTTCCTACCGACGTCCAGCATCTTCTCACTGTGATTTTCACAGTGAGAATCGTGGAAGCACCTCTAGCGGCTGTCAGTGAGACCGCTACTAGTGGCTGGCTTAACCCTCAGTGAAACCCTCAGTTTCTCTGAAATTGGTATGTTTTCAGCTGCAGGGTTAAAACTAGAGGGACCTGGCACCCAGACCACTTCATTGAGCTTAAGTGGTCTGGGTGCCTATAGTGGTCCTTTAATGTATGTTCCTTGGTTCTACTTTTGTAGACTGCTGGTAATTGCTTGACTGGCTTTCTATTTTTCCTTTAATTTATATTTTTTTGGGTGGGCTCCTCAAAGGTATTTATTTTATTATGTAACCAATGTTTACTGCATTTCACTGATTTTCATATTCTTGTAGAACTATTTGTTGGTGTTTCAGTGATATCAATAATCTTTTGTATCCCTAAGGCAGTTGTTGATTGCAACTTTTCTATTTTCAGTCCAGATGTATCAGATACGCCATTTAATTGCCAACATATTTATTTAACACAAACTTTTACATTTTATATCAAATTGATTTTTGAGAAGAAATGTTAATGTGTTTTTTTATTCATGCTTCACATATTGTGTTCCAGCACAGCAATTATTGACTGAAAAAAATTACAATTTTTAAAAAACTTTGTTATAGTAAATATTTTTTTTTTAGCTAATATACTTATGTTTCTGTCACCATGTATAAAAATATTGCAAGTTTAAACTTTATAATTTTTGTCTTTGATTTAATTGTTTTAATTTAGAAATACTAACATTTTAAACTGATTTTGAAAGGCTTTTATAAAAGATTTATAAAGACCTATGATGTTTTTTTCACGCACAATAACATTGTTATACTAATTCTTGTTCTATGTCCTGTTTTTGTTGCTGTTGTAATGTGTACAATTTTTTAATTATTGAATTTATAGAGTAGGGGCTTATTATCCAAAACAATCCTGACAGTCCCTCTCACAGAATCAACTACTAAAATATTTAACATTATGAATATCATTTTTATTCATTTTTCTGCTCCATTGACTCATCAGTAGCTACTAGCGATGCTATTATGAATAATCCTATTTTTAGATAATGATGTTTAAAACTACTAGCAGAGAGAAACACTAAATGTTTTTATAAACACATTTTGGAAAATAGAAAGTCTGCTGTTTTTAATATCCCTCTCAATGCTTTTCTTTCAGGAACACATACAGAGGATAGACCTAGAAGTAAATGCATTTGTGGATTACATGTTTGGGCCAAGAGGTAAGTACTCTAATAACATATTCCATTTAAGTATCTCTAACATTATTCTTGTGGCCAAAAAGTTCCTATCTTCAAAAATGTTTCCTATCAGATACTAACATCTGTCTAACTGCTGCTAATGTACCTTATAACCTTTCAGACGTACCATTATTTTTGGAACTGTCAGTGTTATTCACTGAAGAAATTGTAAATTGCAGGGAATTCAAACTAAATTTCATATTTTAGCCCAACATAGTGAAACTGAAAGCAAAACTTTCTCTATTTGCCAATATTGGCCATACATTTTAAATAACTCTGTGTATGTCACAGCAGTGTTTGTATATACTTTTTCTATCTGTGTACATCTTGTAACCAAGGTTTCCAGTACTGAATGAGATACTAAAATAAGCCTTGTTCTGGCCAGACATTCACATTGTGTTTGCTCAAATTGAGAGACTGCTCTAGACAGTGCCAGAGTAAGGGTCCTATGGACTTGGAGCTGAAAGTTCTTGCTTAGAGGCCTCTGTTAGCTCCTGGCCCCATATCAACTACAGCACGGTGTAGTTGTTATAGTGCTTGGAGTGTTCAGTTAACTAGATGTTGCAGACATATCTAAAACTATAGTCAAGTGCCCATATAAATGATCAATTGCGGGCACATAAACACTTTTACATGTGAACACTGGATAGTTCAGTCCTATATAAAACCGTCTGCACATGATGTCTTCTTTGTTGTTTTGCTAATATAGGTCTACCCAAGTATTCACCCTTCCATGTACAATATGGGGTGTAATCAATATACTAGAAAGTATAGTGAACTGTAATAACTGTATCAAAATGTAGTGAGCTGACATTTTATTTTTTACCACCTTTCTTTTCACCAGTCTCTATTACCGTTTCATTTACTGTGATCGTTCATTACCCCCAGTCTCTTTCAAAATCTGTTTTACATACTTCTATATATAGCGCATATTACTAGGGGCTCTGTAATCTCCTAGTACACCTTGCACATTACTGGGAGCTCTGTAATCTCCCAGTACAGACTGCACATTGCTGAAGGCTCTGTAATCTCCCAGTACAGACTGCACATTGCTAAAGGCTCGGTAGTATCCCAGTACAGACTGCATATTACTGGAGATTTCACCCCCAAATAACCCCTTCCTAAAGCTACACCTCCGGCCCCTCCCCAGTCCCCACCTTGCCCCTACAAATTTCATCTCTCTTGGAACACTTACAGTTACCTGCAGACTCACACAGATACACATACACACATAAACACAGACAGACAGACATGCACTAGCAGGCATCAACACACACATATACACAGACAGGCTAAAACAGGCACACACATAAACAAGCACAGATAGGAAAACACAGACAAGTATATGCAGTCACACACAAGCACTCACACCCACAAAAAAAAACTGTTACTCACAGATAGATACACATAACAACATTTTACATGAATGTGCATAGTAATGCATCATAGAACTCCACAGTTCTGTGTGAATAGAACTGTTTGTTTTGTGTTTGTGGTGTAATATTTGTGTCTAGGGTTGGAGATAGAAAGTGTGTGAGTATGGGGTGTAGTAGATGCAGTGTGTGTGTAGTGGATGCAGTGTCTGTGTATAAGGGACACAAGGAGTGTGTGTATGGGATGTTGTGTGTTTTTACCAATGATGTAGTTTGTGAGTTTATAGGTGATGTAATGTTATTGGTAAGGTATGTGTTGGGTGTATCCTGGTGATGCAGTGTGTGTAGAGTATGGTGTGTGTGTATTACTATTATATTATTATATTATTTATATAGCGCCAGCAAATCCGTAGCACTGTACAATTGTATGTAGTGTGAGATAAGTGATGAAGTGTGTCTAGGGAATGTATTGTGTGTGTGCTGGTGAGGCAGGCACTGTTAGTGTGTGCACTGGGGAAGCAGTGTCTGTGCTGAGGATATATTATGTGATAGGGTTGTAGTGTGGAGGGGTCAAATGGTGCTTCAAGTTATATGTGTGCTCTGAACTGCCTGTCATGGGACCAATACACTAGCTCTGCACTCGGCAGGTCGGTGAGGCAGATCTTTGACTTCCACTGGCTTATGAAGGCATTCCTCTGCATGGGCTGTCCCTGCAGATAGTGGGGAAAAATCTACATCTGACATTTGGAGCTTGAGCCCCTAAGCCCCCCCCCATTGTCCCCCCCCCCGTCCCCTCACCATTGTCAGCACCTGCACATTACTAGGGGCTATGTGATATACCAGTACACACTGCACATTACTGAGGTTCAGTACACACTGCACATTACTAGGGGCTATGTGATATACCAGTGCACTATGCACATTACTGAGGTTCAGTACACACTACACATTACTAGGGGCTATGTGATATACCAGTACACACTGCACATTACTGAGGTTCAGTACACACTGCACATTACTAGGGGCTATGTGATATACCAGTACACACTGCACATTACTGAGGTTCAGTACACACTGCACATTACTAGGGGCTCTGCAATATCCCAGTAAACACTGTACATTACTAGGGGCTCTGCAATATCCCAGTAAACACTGTACATTACTAGGGGCTCTGCAATATCCCAGTACACGCAGCACATTACCAGGGGCTCTGCAATATCCCTGTACATACTGCACAGAGGATGGCCTGTCACTGTGGACCCAGGAGGAGGCTGTCTGGCAGCATTAGGGCACCCCTGAAGCAAGCTCTTATTCACTAAAGCAGAGTAAGCACTTGCTTACCTGGATGGCAGGTGCCAACTCTGCTGAAACATACCTGGGATGAGCGAGGAGGCAGGCGGCGAGGCAGTTTTGATGTTCTTTCAGTTCCTCACTGCTCCCTCATGTGCTCTACTGTGATGCTTGGAGCCAGAATATGATGTCACTCCAGCCCCGGCATCACTAAATAGCGTGCAAGGCAGCAGTGAGGAACTGAAAGATTACAGGAGCAACTGGACCTCATGGAGAGGACCCACACCAGTTCTCTCTCCAAAGGTAGGGAAGCTGGATGGGCCTGAAATAAACAAACCACAAACAATTAAATACAAGTATGCAAGAATGTGTAAATGTGTAAGTGGGCCTGTCATTGTCTGTGTGTGTGTATTTGTGTCTGTCTGTCAGTAAGTGTGTCTATCAGTGTTTGTCAATGTGTGTGTGTGTCTGTCAGTGAGTGTGTTTCAATTCAGTGAGAGTGCATGTCTGTAATTGAGAGTGTGTTTCAGTGTGTCTGTCAGTGAGAGTTTGTGTGTCTGTCAGTGAGCGTTTGTGTGTCTGTTAGTGTGTGTCTGTCAGTGAGAGTGTTTCAAATAAATTAGAGTGTGTGCCTGTAATTGAGAACGTTGGTCAATGTGTGTCTGTCAGTGAGTGTGTTTCTAATCAATAAAAGTGTGTGTCTGTCATTGAGAGTGTGTGCCCGTGTATCGGTTAGTGTTAGTGAGTTCTGTCAGTGTGTTTGTCTGTCAATGAGTGTTTCAAATCAGTCAGAGTGTCTGTCTGTCATTGAGAGTGTGTCTGTCAGTGGGTTTGTCTCTGTCATGTGTATTTGTTTGTGTGTGTATCTGTGCCTGTCAGTGTGTTTGTGTGTCAGTGTATGCATCTGTGTGTATTCCAGTGTGAATGTGCAGGGCAGTGTATGTGCACTTCGCAATCAAACACCAACTGTGCATAAAAACACATTCAAACACACACTAAACACAATTACCCTACTGTTTTCAAATAGCAACAGTACATAAAAACATACAACTGCATTCAAATGCTAATACTATACACAAATATACACAAGTGTTTATTCATAACAATTGCACTTTGTCAACAAGTACTATATTCTTTACATGACTATGGTATGACAGAGGGGCAGTGCCGATGGGAGCTGGGGGATGGTGGTACATGGCAGGGCACAAACTTTTGTTCTGTCCCCGGCGACTGCAACTCTGGTTACACCTCTGATCCAAGTACACATTGCACATTACTAGGGGCTCTGTAGGAACACTGTATACTCACTATAACAACTTCATCTAAGTTAAGTTGTTGTAGTGTCTACAGTAGGTCCCACTCTGTCTCTGGCTCAAAAAAAATCAATTCTTTTAATAATTAAAAGGTTTGAAAGCGTAGCTTCAAGTCACGCCTCCAAGCTCTCAGGGTAGGCTGGTTGGGACTTCCTGACTCTAAAACCCTATCATACTGTGATAGGCACACCACCAAGATAACATCACGCTAGGAGGAAGCCACAGCAGCGCTGAAGAGAAGGTGAGTAAAAATAATCTTTTTCGTTTGGTTTCATTTTATTTAATTTTTTGAGTGCGGCGGGCTGAAATTAACTAGACACAGTAAGACCATAGCGTTAGGAATACAGATATGTATTTCTAGCGATACAGGGTCTGTTTAATTTAACCAGTGAGCTGCCTCAGCACGATTAATGCAGGGCACAGTAGCTGCCATATTAAAGGTTAATAAAGCTGGTATATGTTGATATCACTGGTGGGTTGCCTAAAATGGACAGGCTTCAAATACCATATTTACTAGGTACTCACTTCTTGCAGAGTGCTAAGGAGCAAGTGACTTAGAAAAGCAAATGTACTTTCCCGGAATAAAAGCTTTATTATAGTGTATTATAGTTTGACGAGATATGGATCACATTCATACAAGGAGAGGTCGGATTAACTCATGAAGGAGTATTCGGGATACCTGTGTATATGTAAATAATTGAGATGACTAAAATATTCAGTGTGTGAATGATGATTAAATAATCGGCGAGTGGAAATTTTGAACCCTTCGTTGACGATAAGTGACCTTACAGGACTGTCCTGATATCAATGCATTTATCTGATCCTTTTTCATGAATGCATTGACAGTTAGGTAAGGTACATCATTGTGCTCCTGATTCTGTTGATTTTGCTCTTCAAGAATAAAGTGATATGTTATGGGACAATTGGAAGTCCACCAAGGCTGACAGAGGAATAGGATTAGGAGCACTTGCCTTCACAGTGGTTTTTACAGTAACTCCTAAATTCCCCTTAATCTTAAATGCAGGCTTGTACAAGGGATGAGCCACGTGTGCTAATGCACACTGCAGTGCTTGGCTGACATGTCATTCCTATTCTTAGTGTATATCCCTACCTGCGCTTATGTGATAATATTGGCTGCTCATAATCCGGCTGAAGATAAAAAGTAAAATCGACTCTATATTTGTTTTTACACCTGATTACCACTTGGGCATTATTGGAAGCATTAATACCGAATTATTTTATTTATAGTTCAGTCAATTATGCTGCCTGTTATAAATACTTTCCTTGATTGGTCATTAAAAACAATCCCTGGGTTCATATCTTGATGGCATGTAATGTAGATGCTTAGACCTAAAAATCGGACACTTCAGGACAGCTTGCATTAATGTTTTAGAATGTGTTGTTATTTTAGAATGTTTTGTTATCCTGGTTGAAATCAGACAAGTAAGCATTGTCCCTAAGGGTTTTCTGACTCAAATTCCCAGAGCAACTTAATGTTTTATAAGATATGGTCGACACAAGCAAACACATTCTGCTTCTCTTGGGTATTATAACCCTTTCTTATGCCTTAAAAAAAATCGAATTCTGTATTACGCTATGCGTCATCTTTTAATTATGTGTTTTCTAATTACGTTGTGCCTAAACACCCTCAGACGAATAATTAACATGGTAAGGAACCAGTTTATAGCGGCAGCTAGCTTCCTGGTATATAACAAATATCACAATATCTCCATCACCTAACCTGCATTGTTTTATGTTTATATTTACAGATCCCAGAGTTAAAGGATGGTTTATGCTGGACTCTTACCTACCAACATTTTTCCTGACTGTGCTATATTTTGTTTTAATATGGTTGGGGACCCAATATATGAAGAACAGGGCAGCATTCTCACTCAGGGGCCACCTTATTGTTTACAATCTCGGTGTTACCTTGCTTTCCCTGTATATGTTAATAGAGGTAAGATCCTATTCAAGTCATTATGAACTTGTCTACATCATCATAATCTTACTACTGAAATTTATATTGTCTGATTTGATGTTTCCAAAGTAAAAAGGGCAATACAACCTTTGTTTAACCCCTTAAGGACACATGACATGTGTGACATATCATGATTCTCTTTTATTCCAGAAGTTTGGTCCTTAATGGGTTAAAGGTGTAAAATGGTCAATTGAAACATTGATTTAAAACATATAAAAATTTTCAGGAATTCAATTTCCCACAAAGAAAATTTCTTTGAGAACTAGATAAAGAGTTTCCCCAAACCTTTTTTTTGTATTTAATTTGAATACTTACCTTTATCCAGCAGTGGGAAAAGTTCTCCGTTGTTGTTCTTACCTGAAGTCATGTGGTCCCATCGAGGTCTTATATATATATATATATATATATATATATATACACTGAACAAAATTATAAACGCAACACTTTAGTTTTTGCCCTCATTTTTCATGAGCTGAACTAAAGATCTAAAACTTTGTACACAAAAGGCCTATTTCTCTCAAATATTGTTCACAAATCTGTCTAAATCTGTGTTAGTGAGCTCTTCTCCTTTGCCGAGATAATCCACCCACCTCACAGGTGTGCTATATCAAGATGCTGATTAGACAGCATGATTATTGCACAGGTGTGCCTTAGGCTGGCCACAATAAAAGGCCATATATATATATATATATATATATATAAAACATTATAACATTTCATTCTAGTAATTATATATATATATATATAGTAATAGAAGTGAAGTATGGCACTCTACCCAAATTGTTTTTTAAATAAGTCAAAAAGACAAATAACCATGGTGCTGCTCAGCGCAAAGAAATATAATGAATGAATGAGAGCACTTGCTGGACTTTTTCCAAGTGTGTATTCAAGCAAAGCAAAATATCAACCTTACGACCAACCGGTCTTTATCAAGATGTATATATGGGTGTGTGTGTGTGTATATATATATATATATATATATATATATAATATATATAATATATATATATACAGTTGCAAGAAAAAGTATGTGAACCCTTTGGAATGATATGGATTTCTGCACAAATTGGTCATAAAATGTGATCTGATCATCATCTAAGTCACAACAATAGACAATCACAGTCTGCTTAGTACTCAGTACTACCCCTTTTGTCTGTGTATGTAATACATCACCTTTTCGGTTTACATCTTGCTTAAACACATTTCTAGAGGCTGTCAAACCATTTGGTGCACTTTATCATTACCATGTTTAATTTTTCAAAGTGTTGATGTTTTATGTTGTCATACACAGCATAATGATGCTGAATACCAATAGTGCTTCTCAAAAAGAAGCACTGGTTTCAGTGCTTCTCTAAGAGAAACACTGGATTATCAGAGCATGGCCACACAGGCATCTTATGTCCCCCAATACTTTCATATGAGAAACATTGGATAGGACAAAAGTCCTCAGAACTATAATAAGAAATAGTGGCACTGTCATGGCCTATTTCCCTCCCCATCCATGGGTGACAGGTGTGGGCTAAATGAAAAATACACCCCCAGGTGACATGGAGTCCCCCCACCCAAAAAAAAAGCCCTACCTACCACCCTCACCCTAAAAATAGTGAGGGACGAACAATAAAACTAAATCCCTGTAAATAAAAAAAAAAATGTTGATGTCTTCTTTTTTCTAAAACCTTCTTTTTTTCAGCCCCAAAAAACACTAAATTAAAATCCATTAAGCCCGTAGAATTTATAAAATAAAAAAGACCCGGGCGCAAAAAAAAAAAATACAGACGAAAATAATCTATCTTCACTAAGATTTTTTTTTTTTTATGCTCGGGTCTTTTTTTATTTTATAATTCGACAGGCTTAATAGATTTTAGTTGGCCATTTTTGGGGGTGAAAAAAGAACGTTTTAGAAAAAAGAAGACATCAAATGGTAAGTTTTTTTTTTTACAGGTATTTAGTTTTATTGTTCCACCCTCACTATTTTTAGGGTGAGGGCGGTAGGTAGGGCTTTATTTTATTGTTTTTTGGTCGGATGGGAGGGGTGTTTTTTTCATTTAACCCTGACCCGTCGTCCATGGGTGGGGGCCAAGAGGCGGGGAGAAAGAATAGGTCCCCCCATTGTCTTTTAGGGCCCCCAACCACCGTTAATGGGTGGTGGTCGGGAGGGGGGAAACAATAGGCTCCCCCCATTGTCTTCTCCACCTGCCGCTCATGGGTGGGGGAAGGGGGGAGGGCAATAGGTCATCACCTCCATTGTCATTTAGGGTCCCCACCCACCGCTCATGAGTGGGATCGGGGGTGTGGACAATAGGTCCCCCCATTGTCATTTTGGTCCCCCATACGCCGCTCAGAGGTTGGGACCCTATGTCCCTCATTTAATTAAATAGTGTTTTACGTATTGTAGATTCGCCAACAGGGATGTTAGCGTTTGCCAGTGACTTTTGTAAGTCTTTAGCTGACACTCTAGGATTCTTCTTCACCTCATTGAGCAGTCTGCGCTGTGCTCTTGCAGTCATCTTTACAGGACGGCCACTCCTAGGGAGAGTAGCAGCAGTGCTGAACTTTCTCCATTTATAGACAATTTGTCTTACCGTGGACTGATGAACAGCAAGGCTTTTGGAAATACTTTTATAACCCTTTTCAGCTTTATGCAAGTCAACAATTCTTAATCGTAGCTCTTCTGAGAGCTCTTTTGTGCGAGGCATCATTCACATCAGGCAATGTTTCTTGTGAAAAGCAAACCCAGAACTGGTGTGTGTTTTTTATAGGGCATGGGCAGCTGAAACCCCCGAGGCCCTAACCCCCGAGGCCCTAACCCGAGGCCCCAACTACCGAATTTCGTCCTAACGGAATGAGAACAGTTTGTTCATTCATGTTAGGATGACATTCTAAGAAGCAGCCGTAGCATTTATTGGAATTTCATTAATTCAAATGAAATTTCAAACCAAACTAAAAGCACCGAATGTCATCCTAACATGAATGAACAAACCGTTCTCATTCCGTTAGGACGAAATTCGGTAGTTTTGACGTTCGGGAATAGTGAAAACAGGCATTGCAAGATCACGGAGGAAAGGATGAGTATTGTGGGAAAATTTCTCTGACCCACAGGAAGTCGGTGGGAGCGGGTCAAGCTTAGGAAAACTACATAAGACAAACCAATCCCTACTTTCTCTTATGTTTTAAAGAAAACTAGAGCAGTTAAGAAACAAAGAAGAACAGATCACGAGAGAGGGAGAGAATAGGAAGCCATTCGGGAAAGATAAGTTCAGCATGACAGTGCCCCTTTAAAAGGAAATTATAGTCAACAAAACAACTTTAGCTGAATGAAGCCGTTTTGGTGATTAGATCATGCCATTTACTGATCAATTATCTGCCATTTAAGAGTTAAATCACTTGTGTTTCTGTTTATGCAGACCTAGCCACATCTCCTCTGGCTGTGACTGACACAGCCTGCATGAAAACAAATTGGTTTCATTTTCAATCAGATGTAACTTATTTTAAAAAGTATCTATCTCCTGGTCTGTAAATTGAACTTTAAAGGTAGTGTAAACATTAGATGACTCTTTACAGGAAATGTTTAGGAAGACCATGCACGTCACATGCAGGGAGGTGTGACTAGGGCTGCATAAACAAAGTGATTTACCTCCTAAATGGAAGAAAATTGAGCAGTGAGACTGCACGGGGCATGCTCTGCACACCAAAACTGCTTCATTAAGCTAAAGTTATTTTGGTGAATGTAGTGGCCCTGTAAATAACAGAATATCAAAACAAACAACAGAACAAATATGATTGAGATTGATATTGATGACAAAAACATGCACAGATGCACCCATTCCAGAGAACACAGTAAAGGAGTACCCCGTGCATTATCCTGGTGACAGGCAGACTTACTGTTGCAGGAGGAAGAAATATATATATATATATATATATATATATATTTTTTTTTTTATTATTTTTATTTTTTTGGAACGTTGCTATAAACATGAAATTATCTTTGGCCATGACAATTTGAGATATGACAGCAAATGATTTTATCAGCATCTCTAGCTTATATTTACAATCTAAATATATATACATATATATATATATATATATGTTCATACAAACAAGAGCAGCATGAAATTTAAAGGGATGCATATTTAAAGCCATAAAACCCCAGTTTCCAAACAGCACTGTAATTTTTTGTTTGGAATAAGCTATCCTAGCTGAGACAGTACACTGATCTACTAATCTTTATTTGTTGTGGGATTATAGTTTGCATGCAGTAGGACTCATATTTATCACAATTTGCATTTATAAAGAATTCTGTTTGCTTTATATAATACCGATGCTGCTGTGTTATTAACCTTTAGCATGCCGGAAGATTTAGAAGCCCCAAAGCATTGGGATTCCAACTTATCTAATTCTCTTACGTGTTACCATGTTTAACATCAAGTGAGAACTTTTTACACAGTTTTTTTTAAATTTCCTGTAAATATACTGAAACATGTGTGGCCTTTATTTAGGCTTTAAACAGACAGGGATTGTCAGGGTGATGTTTAAAGAATAAGGCATTGTTAGTGTACATGTGCAAATGATAAACATTTTTGGGGTTTGTTACTGATTGGTATCAGTATAAGAGAAGTAGCTCCAGATACATTACTTGGGAGTCATCTGTGTACTCAAAATCCTAACTGCCTCTAGTGTTATTAAAAAAAAAAAAAAAAAAGTTTATTTATATGGAAGGAAAAATATAATTTTTTATTAGAAATGCCCATTATCAATTATGTTTCCAGTACTATTGCCCCCCCTCTTCTCTCCCAAGACTTTCTCAAAACAGAGATAGGAGAGCAAAGATTGGGAGAGGTTCGCTATGAGTGAATAAGACCTGTAGTTATATGACTCCCTTCTCCGACAGGTAAGTATGCAAATGGAGGAAAATTTCCTTGACATATGCATAGTCGCCTTTTCTGGCATATGCTTAACAAACCCCCAAAGATACTCAGACACCTTTGTTTTGTGAAAATTATCACAACTTTAATAATATAAATAGTACTTTAAACGTTTTTAAGGTCATTGTCCACATATTAAACATAACATAACACCCCAACTCCTTCAACAATACTACCCCAGACAATGACCCATATCACAATAAGTAAAACCACATTATAACATATAATTAACATAAAAAGATAACCATTGCCACAGATGGCATGATTTTCCAGGTTTTTCCATGTAGGGTTATACCGAGATACACCCTACACCCACCAGGTTCAGAGCTACTGTTGTAGATAATTTACTGCAAACCAATTAGTTTGAATGACTATCTGTTCCTGTCCAAATTAAAGATAATAAAGTTGCGTGCACGCAGAAGTAAATTCACACTGAGACACAAAGTTCAGGTTAATGAAAGAACTTCGGAGAAGTTTAATGGCTTCTGACAGAAAATGGGTGCGCAGACCCTTATAAAGGCATTATTACATCATTGAAGAAAATCAAGATATAGACAAATAGACATTGTTAATTGGCTTAGGTGCTAAGATGTTAGTAAAATGCCCTCCCTATGGGGTGTACCATCTTAAGTCACTATCTACGTCATGCTTTTCTCCCCCAGGTTTTAGCGCCATTTTGCTAACATGAGGAGCTCACTCGACGGGAGGGGCCTTTTGGCAGCTATCCATTTAGAGCGTAGCTGGCACTTGTTAGTTTCTCAAGGTTAAGTTTCAAGGATTTTAGTAAATACACATTTTATCAAAGCTATTTCTTGCTGACATGCAAATTCTATGTTCTATAGACAAGGCTTTCTTGTAAAACTATGGGGGCCTCTTAGAGGTATAGCAAGAGGATTTAAAGGGGCCTTACAGACTTATAGAGGCCTAATAATTCTACAACACTACCAACGAGCTCGAACCTACCAATACCCTTCCAAACCTAATTGTTCTTAGCGAACTAAACTATTTTACATCAAGACCAATAACCTACACTCCAACTTATCTATCCATCCTTTAACACCTTGACTAAACGGGAGCTAAAACAAAAAAAGAGGGAGAGTGGGACAAAACAGGTAAGTGAGGATTAATTAACATGGCCTCTAATCTAAAATGGCCACTATATATACTCCTTTAGAAAAAAAACCCACCTCCAATAACACTCCCCCACATTACACCCCTTCGATGCCAGTCTCCTAGCCATGTCAAGGCCCATTCCCCTTAGGAACTGATAATGTTGGGGAGCATCAAAAAGGTGAAATAAAAATATAAAACAGACCATGATTATTTATCGGAACTGTCTTCTGGTCTACTTTATTAGTAATAAAATGACTCCCTTTACACAATAGGTGCTCCTAATTTTGCTCATAAATTTTTTAATTAAAGCCAAAAACTGACAAACTGGTGCTTAGTGAATTGTCTCATGAATTAGACACTGGTATTCTTTTGCTCGAAGGTTTGTGTGGCTTTATCTGTAATTCAGATAAAATCCCCTTTAAGTGCAGTATGAAGTATTCATTTTGTAGATTAGTTCAAAAAAATTAGATTTATGCAGATTTGCCATTCACATGGCTCTTATGGCTCTTACTGTGCTATTATAAAATTACATCATGAACTGCACACACAGAACAAAAGCACACAAAGGCTCAGTGTGTTCAATTTATATAAGGATAAAAGATTTTATGTACAAAAAATGCCCACTGGTTAAACATTTATATCAAAGTAAAGTGACTTCCACAGTAGTTCTCATGCAACATCCTTTATTCCAATTACAACAGAACATTCTGTATGTTTATTTCTGTGATGGGAAAAGCTTAGATTCTATGGAATAGAGAATATATATGCACAACGTGTTCCAATTGCTATAAATGCAGCCATTAATACAGCCTTTTTTAGAAAAGGGACAATGCAAAAAATGAAAATGTCTATAATGTTAGATCTGTTTAAAAGAAGAACATTCAGTATGAATGCATCCCAGCCCCCCCTCACCCAACATTTCAAATGGACACAGAGCCCAGGGCTGGAGCTGTTCTGAAATTTTTTAGTGACTTAGTAATAACAATATATGCAAGTAAAGTTCCATTTAGAACAGGAACAATGTATCTTATTTACAAAGACAGATTTATTAGCATTATTGCTGTGCAGCTCTGTTATATAGATGCAGACACACCAACAATATGGAGCTACTAGAAAAGAGGGACAATAGGATAGAAAAGATGAACAGAGGGATTTGGACCAAAAATAGGGACTGTCATTTCTAAATAGGGGGACATCACTGATCTGACTGTGTGACGTTCTGTAGTGGCACATCACTGATCCTCTCAACTGACTCTTGTGCTATCAGAGTCAACTGAGGTCAGCCGAAAACATATGACCCCAAACAAGGTATTCAGGTCATTTGACACACACACCCATCTACAGGCAGATACATTTCTGGGTGCTGCCATCTTACATACTTGAAGATGGCAGTGCCTAGAAAGAAGTCCCAGAAAGACGTAAATCCGTCAAAAAGTAAACATGTTTGGAGTGGAGTTGCCTCTAGTCTAGTCCCAAAGATAGTTCTACTGAACATGTTCTGAGCCTAGATTCCTTGGCACCTTCTAAGCATGTTAATACATATCTTGACAGCGGCATATTTGGGAGCAGCAGGAAACTGGAAGAAGCTGGTGCCCCCAACGATATAATTAGTACATGACAAAATCTCATTAACCTATATTTACGAGGAGATATCCCACAAAATTAGAGGGACATGGGAACTCGTTAACAAACTCTGGAATGTTTGGCAGCAGTACCTGTATGTAGCCACTAGAGGTTGGATTAACCCTGCTATGTAAACATAACAGTTTCTCTGAAACTGCTATGTTTACATGTGAAGGGTTAAAACCCGAGGGACATGGCACCCAGACCACTTCATTGAGCTGAAGTGGTTTGGGTGACTATAGTGTCCCTTTAACCCCTTAAGGACCAAGTTTCTGGAATAAAAGGGAATCATGACATGTCACACATGTCATGTGTCCTTAAGGGGTTAAATCTCGTTTATGTGGCCCATACTAGACTTTGAGTTTGACATGCTTGCACTACAATATGAAGGAGGAGCGTAAAGGAAATTTTATCTCGAGTGCAGTTTAGCGGTTAAGCAATGACTACAACATGCAGATGAAATGTTATTTCTAATGGCAGGTGCACTTTATGTGACTATAAGAAACAGAGAGCTGAGCGTTTCACACCGTTTTCTCTTCTCTCCTAAGCAGTATGCCTGGTTTGGCTCTTACATGCAGATGATGAACAAGTGTTTTACGGCTGGCTGTATTAATAGCCAGGCTGACTCTGGGAGCCGGTAATGTGTGCCAAAGGTCAGCAACTAAAGAACACGAGGACAAGTGCCAGTTACATTCAGCTCATGCAGTTGCAGAGAATAAATGACCCTTTCTCCCAGTATACAGACAGAAACACTTTTTGTCTTGTAACATTCTAATTTTGTGTCTATACTGTGGGGCTCAGCAGCTTTTTCCAGAGTGCAGTCTCTTGAGAGGGAAAAAAAATATACAAGGTATTAATGGAGTTATCCACATTCTTATTGTGCTTACATTCTAGTAAAGACTATATGAAATTTGGAGCAGCGGTGCTTAAATATTTTCCTCTCTCTCTGGAGGGACAAGTAACAAAGAAACACAGAGGCAGATTTTTGCTCCTTTGCTGTGGTTCCCACTGAGGGACAGTGTTCATAAATCTGGAATTTGCTTCAATAAACTGGAATTTTGTATTTAAATGTGCAGTCGAGTTTTTGTTTTCTTTTTAATTACAAAATAAAGATTTTTTTTCTGTAATTTCTATAGTTCCCAAATCATTCCATAGTATTTTATATACTAATATAGGATCTGTTATGTCCATACATTTAAATAACCTATCTTCATAAGTAGCAAATCAGTCTTCACAGCCTAGGTTAAGGATAGTCAACCTGCGGCACTTCAGATGATGTGGACTACATCTCCCTTGATGCTTTGCCAGCATTATGGCTGCAAGAGCATTATGGGAGATTAGTTAACAACATCTTGAGCGCTGAAGGCTGCCTGCTCCTGGCCTAGATCAATTATGGCTAATGAAATAAGGCAGAATACCAGCAGGAGAAACTTATTTTTGTTTTGCTTGGGACCTAGATTAAAAAGAAAACTTAGGATAGTATGCAGGTTAGTGAACATAACCCTTAATTTGTAACACTTTCCTTCTTTCTGGGTTCCAGAAAATGTTTTGAAGATTTTTATTTTTTTTGCAGTCATTCTGTAGTTTATTGAGTCATTATGGCAGAGTACAAAAAGGAAAAAGGAGTGGGAAATGCAGTGCATGTGTACATAATACAATTAGTGGAACAATATAATTACATGATATCAGCAAGTTAATTCCTCCTTCTGGATGTTATAGCCTCTTTTATGTTATGGGAGCAGTAGATTAGGTAATAGACCAATTATAAATTATAACTAATAATAACATTGAACATGGCCTCAGTGGCCAACTACAATATGCCGCAGCAAATACAGTCAGGTCCATAAATATTAGGACATCGACACAATTCTAATCTTTTTGGCTCTATACACCAACACAATGGGTTTGAAATGAAACAAACAAGATGTGCTTTAACTGCAGACTTTCAGCTTTAATTTGAGGGTATTTACATCCAAATCAGGTGAACGGTGTAGAAATTACAACAGTTTGAAATTACAACAGTTTGTAATATTAAACATTGTGGGTAGTTACAGTACCCCTTTAATATTCTCTTACTATTTGGGTAGCACAATGTACCGATCAAAGTAAACTTCCTTTGCAAACCTGTTGTGAGTCAACTATGCTCTTTAAAGGACCACTATAGTGCCAGGAAAACAAACTAGTTTTCCTGGAACTATGTAGTCCTTATCTGAAACTGCTATGTTTTCAGCTGCAGGGTTAAAACTAGAGGGACCTGGCACCCAGACCACTTCCATGAGCTGAAGTGGTCTGGGTTCCTATAGTGGTCCTTTAAACATTGGTGAATGCAGACTATATAGCATAACATTTCTCTTGATTTTTCCTTAGCTCATTCTTTCAACATGGGAAGGACGGTATAACTTACAATGTCAAAACCTGGACAGCGCAGGGGAAGCAGACATCCGGGTGAGTTGTAACTATTTCTGTGTTCTAATTAGTCTGTTCGTTTAAGTAATGTCTTTAAGTGACAAAAGGACAGGGATATATAGGCACACATACTGTTGGTGATGCTGTAAAGCATAAAATAAGTGTAGACAATTTTATGACTGGTATATCAGCTGCTCCTTTAGCGGTATATTAATAGATCTCTTACTGCATTACATGTTACTCTTAAATTTGCAGCTTATCCACAATTTGTGTTAAATGTTTGCTTTTACAACTTGTGTTTCACAGGTGGCCAAGGTCCTATGGTGGTACTATTTTTCAAAAGCTATTGAGTTCATGGACACCTTTTTCTTTGTTCTTCGGAAAAAGAACAGCCAGATCACATTTCTCCATGTTTATCACCATGCGTCAATGTTCAATATATGGTGGTGTGTAATGAACTGGATCCCATGTGGACAAAGTGAGTATTGTGTCCATTTTCATGAAACGTTTTAAGCCTGCAATAATGCAACACAGAGTATTGTACATCTTTTAATGCAAGTCTGCGAACCTGCATGATCTGCCCCAGGGCCTCCAAATTTGTCAGCATATTAGCAATTATCTGGAATGAGAGAACCATTTAGGTCTATTTATTGTCTTCCCATATCTGCCTGACTATGAAAACACCATCAGTTTTCGATCACTTCTGATACCAATTGAGTTTGTGACCATTCCTTATACCCTGGAAAATATATCTTTACTTCTAGAAAACAATGGTTAATCTTTAATATACAGAGTAATTGTGGACAGATCCTACTTTTCATGATCATCGTTGTGGTACTATAGAAAGTAGAGGTAGCCTACAAACAGAATTGGAGGAATTGAAAGGCTACGAAATAAAGAAAGCTTATAGAAGCTGCATTTGTTTACACTAGAAGAAAATGTGTCTTAGATTGCATGTGAGAAGGGCCAATACAAGCAGCAGTCTGGAGATCTGTTCATTAAAGAACATTTATTTAAAAAAAAAAAAAAAAAGAGGTCATTCATTGAAACTTAAGAGACAGATGTTTTGCAGGATATATATGTTTATCATAGTTAAAATGGACATTAAACTTTTATTGTTTTATTATTTTTATCGCTTGTCCCAGGAAAAAATCAGACTCCTCCTTGATTCCATAGTTCGAAATTTTTCCTTGACGACTCCGTTAGAAATCCCTTGAAACAGATTAGGTCTTCTTTTGGATTAAAGGCAGCAGAAGTGCTATGTTATTGAACTTGATGAGCTTAGGTGTATTTTTATCCTACATCATATACATAGTATTATGTGTATTTTTATCCTACATCATATACATAGTATTATGTGTAGGTCATGGTACTGGTGCTCAAAAGGTACACTCGCAGTATTAGTAGTTAAGTGGGACACTAAAAGCACCAAAACAAGATTAGGCACCTGCAGTCTCATTTCTCTGCTATTTAGGAGTTAAATAACTTTGTTTACGCAGCCCTAGGCACATCTCCCTGGATGTGACTTACACAGCCTTCCTAAATAAACACTTCCTGTAATTTGAGATCTAATGTTTACACTTCCTTTATTTCACATTTTGTTCAAAATGAATTTCTTATCTCCTACTCTGTAAATAGCTTGCTAGACCCTGCAGGAGCTTCCGGTGTGTGATTAACTTTACATTTATGGAGTAGGAGATAAAAACATCTAAAGCAAGATGTGATTGAAAATGAAACCATTATTGTCATGCAGGCTGCATCAGTCTTAGCCAGAGGAGTAGGGGCGTGTACTGTATAAACAGAAACAAAAGTTATTTAACTCCTAAACAGCAGAGAATTGAGCAGTGAGACTACAGGAGTATGATTTATATGCTATAACTGCTTCATTAAGCTAAAGTTGTTTTGGTGCCTATAGTATCCTTTTAAACCAGTTAAGTTTTGTTTGACAACGTACCTGGGCACTAGTGGCCATAGCCTTGCTTCTGGATTATCCTACAAATAAGAATCTGTTTAGCTCATCTAAGCTAAAGTACTAGACTAAAGTAAATTGTTAAACTATTCTTAAACAGTCTGAATACTTAATCTGAGAGGGTGCTATGGCATTCCTGGCACCATAACTACAGCAGGGTGAAAAGGTTATGGCCCTTGGAATGTTCCTGTAATAATAGATATATAGGTGTGAAATGAAGTTGGCAGCTTGACAAGAGACTCCTTTGTATTCCAGGTTTCTTTGGACCTACGCTGAATAGCTTTATACACGTCCTTATGTACTCTTACTATGGCCTGTCTGTCATTCCATCCATGCACAAGTATCTGTGGTGGAAGAAGTATCTTACTCAGGCACAACTGGTATGTTTAATAATATTTAATTTCCATGCTCTAATCCTATAGGCAATAGCATACACATGCATTCATCTTGTATACACACAAGAAACATTGATACAACTATCAAAAGGGAATTCACATTGCACACATTAAATAATCATTTTGTCATGTTTTTGCAGTGTGTTGCCATGTGATCCTCACATTTACTCATGGGTCCTATTCATCACTCCATAGTATTACCACATCACATGTATACTACAACCATCCCACTCAATGCATTTTATGAGAGTGAATGATGGATATAAGCCTTCTATGTTTTCTTTAACCACCCAAGAACCATATACAACAGGGGTGCCCAAAAGGTCCCCAAATGTTTAAAAACTACAACTTTCATGATGCTTTGTCATTCTAAAGACATGCAAAGCATCATGGGAGTTGTAGTTCTGCAACATCTGGCTATCTTCCTTTTTGGCACCCCTCTTATACATGTTATAGGTGTTATTGGTAGGTTCAATAGTGCTTACTTCTTAGAGATACTATCCTTAAGCATTGTACATACTTTGTGAACTTCTACACCATAAACTAGAGAAGCACAACAAGAAGTACAGATATCCTGAAGCAGAATTTATGCAAAGTTACAATGTCGTCTTTTTGTATGTTGCTTTATAACAAAACATTTATTGAGAACTATAAACAAGAATGTCAAGAGCAATTTGTGTTTGTGTATGTTATAGATTCAATTCCTGCTTACCATCACACACACACTCAGTGCAGCGGTTAAACCATGCGGGTTTCCATTTGGTTGCCTGATGTTCCAGTCCTCCTACATGACTACACTGGTCATCCTATTTGTGAACTTCTATTTCAAGGTAAGTAGGCCAGACCAACCACTTTCTTTACATTTGGTCTATCTTTTTATTGATTATCATAGAATGTATGGCTGGGTGGCCAGTAGATAGTGGTCCTCCAGAATATGTTTTGAGATGATCTGTAACTTATTTTTAAAGCTGGGGATGGCTTTTAGGTGTTCATCTGTTTTAATGACTATATGAATAAAAGCCTGCACTCTTTGTGGAACCAATCTTGACGAACCCACTGCTAACTGTACCACTAAAAATACTGGATCAGATTTTAAGGACCACTAAAAGTACCCGGATCATTTCATCTCAATGAAGAAGTCTGGGTGCAGTGGTTCTATAGTTTTAACCATGCAGTGTTCTTCTTTGTGGTTTTGTAGAAACTGCAATGTTTACATTGCAGGGTTAAACACACCTCTAGTGGCTGTCTTCCTCTACAATGACTAAGTGAAACTGTCATGTGACCAAATGCAACACTTAGGTAAGCACTGAATTCAATGTTTTTGAATTTGATTGGATGTGCATGTAGCGCCCACCCCGCGTGCTCTATGAACATTAGATTGGACCATTGCAGAGAGAGCAATGGGTTTCAAATTTGAGCACTTACTATTGTATCTGAAGTGGTTATGGATATGTTATCTAGTGTTTATCTGCTTGTACTGTGTGTTGCGCTTTCTTTGTATAACCTGTATTTATTCACTGTATGAATAGAAATCTTAAGGGCAAATTTACTCTGGTGTGCCTTGGGTTTTTCTCTACTAGGTCTATGGATCTGGTGGGGGGGTGGGGGGGAGGGAGGAGGAGAGGAGGGAACAGCTACAGAATCTGTTGGCACTATATAAATGGCAATAATAATAATAATAACAGATTTTCCCATAAAGCACCCACCACCTCTTTACCACACTATCAACCATATTGAGGTTGAGTGCTCACTATAATTTTTATGCAAACATAGAAACGGCAGATAAGAACCATTCGGCCCATCTAGTCTGCCCAATTTTCTAAATACTTTCATTAGTCCCTAGCCTTATCTTATAGTTAGGATAGCCTTATGCCTATCCTTAACTTAGCATGCTTAAACTCCTTTACTGTGTTAACCTCTACCACTTCAGCTGGAAGGCTATTCCATGCATCCACTACCCTCTCAGTAAAGTAATACTTCCTGATATTATTTTTAAACCTTTGTCCCTCTAATTTAAGACTATGTCCTCTTGTTGTGGTAGTTTTTCTTCTTTTAAATATAGTCTCCTCCTTTACTGTGTTGATTCCCTTTATGTATTTAAATGTTTCTATCATATCCCCCCTGTCTCGTCTTTCCTCCAAGCTATACATGTTAAGATCCTTTAACCTTTCCTGGTAAGTTTTATCCCGCAATCCATGAACCATGGATTGCGGGATAAAACTTACCAGGAAAGGTTAAAGAGTAGACCGTAGCAACAAGGCAGTCTTGGCGTTAACAAATTTAAACAAAACCTTTTTATTATTATTAATGCAGTAAACATGGACTAGTCATTAGGACATTGAAGCATTAGGAATTTAAGTTTTAATTCTAAAACGTTATGTATGTATGTATGTAACATATGCATGAAAATCCAGTATTTATGTAAAGCAATAGACTGGGCTTGTTTCTTTTTTTTTATAAATTTTATTATGAAACATTATTTGTTTTTATAACAAACTATGAATTAAACTTTCTAGTTTCAGGTGTAACCTTAAAAGAATAAATAAATAAAAATAAACAAAGGAAGTATACATAAATTAAATTAGGATTTGATTTTTTTTTCTAAATAAATTATACTTACAGTGCTTGAAAACTAAACTGCCATAGTGCACGAACTTACTATACACAGCCCTAGCTTAAGCACTGTATCTGACTAATCATGTTCTTGAATATAGAAGACCAGGAGATATGCGCTCCTTCAAACAGTTTCTAAGTGCTACGTAGCACACAAAAAGACCTTGCAACTATTATTTCATTCACTGATCCTATACTTTTTTTTTTTAAACTGTACCTTAATACCCAATTATTTTGAGCCTCTAAAGGTTTCAATAAATAGCTCAACTCAGGTTTATAGATATGGTTATAGTCTAACCGAATTAAATAAAAGAAAAAAAAATGGATAACAAAACAAATAGTTTTTTGTGTTCTTATTCACACTAGACTTACAAGAAAAGACCTTCAAAAAGCGACTCAACTGAAAAAGAAGCAATCAAAGAACTGAAGAATGGATACCATAAAGACTTGTCCCATGCCAGCAATGGGATCGGGCACAAAAAGGAGAACTAGTTGAGGAGAAGCAATTAACAGAATATTAATGGGCAGCCCCCGTGGTTTAAAGATGTTCATCGTTAACTACTGACAACTCATTTCAAGGCAATATAAACGCAAAAATAATCATCACCGTCCAACTTCTATTAATCTGTTAACATGTAGGGCTTGACAAAATGCACCACAGGCTTTTTGTTGTCGAATGTCACCATAACTATAACAGAACTGTAGTCCAGAAAATGCCTTATTGCCCTCCCTCCGAAATCCTTTTACATTTTTTTAATAGTTTTAAATATGACCTAGGGCTTTTTATGTACTAAAATTATTAATTCTTTAAAAAGAGACTTGGTTTTATGTTACTGTCCACCTGATCACACATTGGACAAGGAACGGTTCTCGAATGTTGTGGATTTGTAGAATAACGGGCTCAAATTATATTTAAAATATACTTTTACTGGCTCTACGTAATGGCATTTCGTTTCACTGTTTTGTTTTGTTTTAATGGGAATTAAGGGCTTGAGCAACATCTATTGGATAACAATTTATAATATGTAAATGTAAGTGCAGTTTTTGAGATATATATACCAAAGTATTGAGCATTCTAAGCAAATTTAGGTGTACAAACTTTGCCTTTACCACTGCATTCACCATGTTTAATGGTTTAGGAGAAAAGTTAATACTCACTGCTATTTGTGCAATTTTTATTCCAATGATTTATAAACCTTTGACAAAATTGTTTTCAAACAGCAGGAAAAACAAAGATATCTGCAGAGTCATAGGCGTGCACACGGGGTGTGCTGGGGCACACCCTAATCCCCACGGCACGCCTATGTATTGAGACAGGCAGGGGAGATCTCAGGCTATCTGAGCGCCGGCTCTGCTCTCAGCCTCCCTCCCCACTGCAGCATGGAGGGAGGCAGGAGAGGACCCAGGGAGCTCAACCAGCAGCTCCGCCGGGTTCCTCTCGCGAGGTCGGAACGTTGCCACAGCAACGCTTAGATCTCGCGAGAGTGAACTCTAGCCCCACAGGGGCTAGAGTTTACTCTCCACTGGACCACCAGGGAAAGCAGCAGCACGATCCCCCCTCCCTACATAAGGTAAGAAGGGAGGGGGGATAGTAAGTAATGTACACCCCCCTCCACAATCACCCACACACACACACAGCACCCACCCACAGCACCTTCAAACACGCACCACCCACACACACACACACGCACCACCCACACACACAACACACACACACCGCACAAACAAGAAACATACTAAACTCCTTGCCTTTGTGATAATTCGTATGGCAATGTGAGGTATGAACAATGAAACAATGTATCAAGGTCTCTGCTGATGATATAAAGCAGCAGTTCCCAATTCGTGGTCCGCGTACCCTTCAGTGCCCTGGGGGTATGCGAACAGAAATCAGTAATGGCAGCCCTGTCCGTGCAGCTGCACCGCACGGGCTACGAACTACCAGTTCATCTGATGGCCCATGCACTTAGGGACATCCGATGGACATCTGCCATGAAGGGTCGGCTCGTGCATTTCGGCGCTTTAATTGCGCAACCGGCCCTTTCTAAGCTTCCTGAAAAGCTAGGAGGAAGTGCGAGTCTGTCACTTCCTCCCAGCTGACTTACTCTGAGCTGTAAGGAAGGCGTCGACCCGCAATGTGGGGAGCTGGACCGGGAGAGGAAGCAAAAAACCCACCTCCCAATAGCCCCTGCCATGGAAGTCACCCTCCTGCTGCCAAAAGGTAAAACCTGGAGGGTGGCTAAAATCTTAGCCTGTATGTGTATAGCAATGTCTGAATCTCTATGTCTGTGTATATGTGGGTGTTTGAATCTGTATGTCTGTGTGAGTGTCTGAATCTGTGTGTATGTGTGAGTGTCTGAATCTGTGTGTATGTGTCAGTATGTGTATCTGTATGTCTGTATCTGTATTTGTGTGTCAGTATGTGTATCTGTATGTCTGCCTCAACTCAGGAGGGACCTTAATTCTCTTGATCTCCAACAGTTGTCAGCTGACATTGATCCACAACTGCTGTTCATCCCTTCCCTATCCTGTCCTTCACTGGCCATCTCCATATATAACTCTACTCTTACATCTGCCTTGAACACTGCAGCGCCACTCCAAGCAAGCACCTCAAGGAGGACCCGCCCCCAACCGTGGCATACTAAATCAACGTGCTACCTGCAAAGATGCTCCCGGTGTGCTGAACGCTCCTGGAGGAAGTCTCGCACCCAGTCAGACTTTCTCCATTATAGATTCATACTGTGTTCATACAGTGCAGCCCTTGCCCTTGCCAAACAGTCCTATTTTTCCTCTCTCATTAGTTCATGTTCCCGCAACCCCAGGCGTCTCTTTGACACCTTTAATTCTCTTCTTCGCCCCGCTGTGGCCACCCCCCAAACCAACCTTACTGCTGATAACTTTGCATGTTACTTCACTGACAAAATTGAACAGCTAAGGAAAGAATTCTCCCCTCCTTGCCTTTCTGTTTCTCACTCACACATTGATCATGCCTTTCCTACCCTTCAGACATGCTCCCCAGCCACTGACCAAGAGGTGGCTGCTCTTCTTTGCTCCTCTTGCCCCACCACTTGCCCGCTCGATCCTGTCCCATCTCACCTTATCAGATCTCTCTCCACTTGTCTCGTGCCTTCTCTAACACACATCTTCAACTGCTCGCTCTCTTCTGGCATCGTCCCTGCTGACCTTAAACATGCCACTGTAGTACCTATACTAAAAAAACCATCCCTTGACCCGTCCACCCCCTCTAACTACCGTCCCATATCCCTGCTCCATTTTTCCTCAAAGCTTCTGGAAAGACTCGTCTTTACCCGTGTGTCTCATTTCCTCAATTCCAACTCTCTCCTTGACCCCCTTCAATCTGGCTTCCGCCCTCTCCACTCTACAGAGACTGCCCTTATCAAAGTTACTAACGACCTAATAGCAGCTAAATCCAAAGGCCACTACTCCATACTAATTCTTCTTGACCTCTCGGCGGCCTTTGACACCGTTGATCATGCTCTCCTTCTTCAAACTCTGCAATCGCTTGGTCTCTGTGACTCTGTCCTCTCGTGGTTTTCCTCTTATCTCTCCCAGCGCTCATTCAGTGTCTCTTTTTCTAATGATACCTCCTCCCCTCGCCCTGTCTCGGTTGGAGTCCCCCAAGGCTCCGTCCTTGGTCCCCTTCTATTTTCTCTTTACACTGCCTCTCTTGGCAAACTTATTACCTCATTTGGTTTCCACTACCACCTGTAAGCTGATGACACCCAGCTATATCTCTCCACCCCGGACCTCTCCCCTGCTGTCCTGCAACGTGTCACTGCTTGCCTTTCTTCCATCTCTGACTGGATGTCCTCCCGCTTTCTGAAACTCAGTCTCTCAAAAACTGAGCTCCTTGTCTTTCCTCCTCCTAATACTGATCCTCCTCTTTCGCTCTCTCTTCAAGTTTGTGGTACCAACATCAGCCCATCCTTGCAAGCGCGCTGTCTTGGCGTCATACTTGACTCTGGTCTCACCTTTGAGCCTCACATCCAGCATGTTTCCAAATCCTGTAGATTCCATCTTAAAAACATAGCCCGCATCCGCCCCTTTCTTGCACCAGATACTACCAAGGAGCTTGTCCATGCTCTAATAATTTCCGCATGGATTATTGTAACCCTCTCCTGCTTGGTCTTCCCAAAAGCCGTACTGCACCCCTACAGTCTGTAATGAATGCTGCTGCTAGACTGATTTTCCTCTCTAGTCGGTTCTCTCACACCTCACCCCTCTGCCAGTCTTACATTGGCTTCCTGTGTGCTATAGGAGTCAATTCAAGGCACTAACTCACACCTATAAAGCACTGAACAACTCTAGCCCCTCTTATATCTCCTCACTGATCCACAGGTATGTCCCTTCTCGGTCTCTCCGCTCTGCCCGTGACCACCTCCTGTCCGTTGTCCGCACCCGTACGGCCAACTCGCGCTTGCAGGACTTCTCGCGGGCGGCTCCCTTCCTATGGAATAGCCTGCCTACCGCCATCCGACTCTCCCCTAGTCTTGCATCTTTTAAGAAGTGCCTTAAAACCCATCTCTTTAGGAAAGCTTATGGCCTCCAAGACTAACCCCTACCTCACATACCCGTCTCTTGCCCTCTCCTAAAGGGCAGCCCACCTTATTTGATTGCACATTCCTGTCCTAATGTGTTTCACACCCCACCTCCTATAGAATGTAAGCTCGATTGAGCAGGGTCCTCTTCAACCTATTGTTCCTGTAAGTTTATTTGTAATTGTCCTATTTATAGTTAAATCCCCTTTCATAATATTGTAAAGCGCTACGGAATCTGTTGGCGCTATATAAATGGCAATAATAATTTGTGTGTCAGTATGTGTATCTGTATGTCTGTATCTGTATTTGTGTGTCAGTATGTTTATCTGTATTTCTGCATTTGTGTGTCAGTATGTGTATCTGTATGTCTATCTGTATTTGTGTGTCAGTATGTGTATCTGTATGTATGTATCTGTATTTGTGTGTCAGTATGTGTATCTGTATGTCTGTATCTGTATTTGTGTGTCAGTATGTGTATCTGTATCTGTATTTGTGTGTCAGTATGTGTATCTGTATGTCTGTATCTGTATTTGTGTGTCAGTATGTGTATCTGTATGTCTGTATCTGTATTTGTGTGTCAGTATATGTATCTGTATGTCTGTATATGTATTTGTGTGTCAGTATGTGTATCTGTATGTGTCCGCGTGTATCTGTATGTCTATGTATCAGTGTGTATCTGTATGTCTGTACATCTGTAAGTGTGAGTATGTGCACATGTGTGCCTGTATCTGCATGTGCATTGGTGTGTGTAACAGTATCTGTGCAACTGTGTATGTGGCAGTGCTTGTATCTGCGTGGCAGTGTATGATACACATACTGACCCACATGCAGATGCACAGACCCGCATGCAGATGTACAGACATACAGATACAAACATCGCCACACTTGCAGATACACTGATACACTGACACACATGCAGATTTGTAGACACAGATGCAATCACTGACACATTGCATACTGACACACATGCAGATACAGTGTGTGTGTGTATCTGCATGTGTGTCATTGTTTGTATAGGTGTGTCTGTACCTGTATCAGTGTCAGTGTTTGTATCTGTCTATCTGCATTTGTGGGGAGCCTGGGGCAGAAGGAAGAGCGGGGAGAGCCTGGGGCAGATGGGAGAGCAAGGAGTGCCTAGGGCAGAGGGGGAAAGCTGGGGAAGAGGGTAGAGCCTGGGGAAGAGTTAAGAGCAGGGACATCCTGGGGTAGAGGGGAGGAGCAAAGAGAGCCATGGGCAGAGGAGAGGAGCAGGGAGAGCCATGGGCAGAGGAGAGGAGCAGGGAGAGCCTGGGGCAGAGGGGGGGGGAGGGTAGCCTGGGGCAGAGGGTAGAGCAGAGAGAGCCTGGGACAGAGGGGAGGAGCAGAGAGCCTGGGGATGAGGGAGGAGCAGAGAGCCTGGGGCAGTACAGGGAGAGCCTGAGGCAGAGGATTGAGCAGGGAGAGCCTGTGGGAGAGGATAGAGCAGGGAGAACCTGGGGCAGAGAATAGAGCAGGGACAGTCTGGGGCAGAGTGAAGGATCAGAGAGAGCCCGGGGCAGAATGAAGGATCAGAGAGAGCCCGGGGCAGAATGAAGGATCTCAGAGACTCTGGGGCAGAGTGAAGGATCAGAGAGAGCCTGGGGCAGAGTGAAGGATCAGAGAGAGCCTGGGGCAGAGTGAAGGATCAGAGAGAGCCTGGGGCAGAGTGAAGGAGCAGGGAGAGCCTGGGGCAGAGTGAAGGAGCAGAGAGAGCCTGGGGCAGGTGAGGGGAGCAGGGAGAGCCTGGGGCAGGTGAAGGGAGCAGGGAGAGCCTGGGGCAGGTGGGGGGAGCAGGGAGAGCCTGGGGCAGGTGGGGGAGCAGGGAGAGCCTGGGGCAGGTGGGGGAGAGCCTATGGCAGAGAAATATAAATATATATGAAACAACAGCAACTGTGTTCATTACAAACATTTTGCTAATATGAAGGGTACAATTTATGGAAATGGACTACGAAGGGGTACTCAAGTGAAAAAAGTTTGGAACCACTGGTATAAAGGATACAAAGTAATGGTGTTATGTCAATCGAGTTGTGAGAGGAAGCAGCTCTCCCTATTAATCCTCCATAAATAGGTTGAAATAATAAAAACAGGTGTAACAGTGCTAGACCCACTGTACCTTCGAGGGCACCCCTTAAATAAGGATAAGTCTGAACCCTCCAATCTTAGGAAAAATGTGTATATACAGCGTATCAATCAATCTGTGCTAAAAATCACAAGGACTGTAATCTCAATAAGTGTCCTCTCCATCATAGGAATTGTTATAGCTTAGAATCTCATCAAGATATATTGGACAAATTCTACTTAATGAGGAGCACAAGCATAAAAATAAACACTTTATTGGTTGGGTCCACAATACCAAGTATCTCAAAATGCATATCAGAAGATCATAGCATAAATATCCCAATACTAGTACAAAAAATATACAATAGATTCTACAATTACATCCGTACAGGAATGATGGCAAAAAGTTCATTAGTAACATAATTACTACAAAAACATAAGGATATTTGGACACAACAACCCAGTAAATAATACATATAAAACAAACAAATTCATACCAGGAATAATAATAAGAGGGAAAAAGTCAATCAGGAAGCCCCCAACGTTTTGGCATAAAAATGCCTTTATCAAAGGAGCAAAAGATATTTCGGACACCTATGACCCTTGACAGATCAAGCGTGAGCGCTTCGCCAGAGTGGCTCATCAGAAGGGAAGGACACACAGACACACCAACAATATGGAGCTCCTAGAAAACAGAGGCATTAGAATAGAAAAGAGGAGGGGTGTGGCCTGATCCTTGATTGGGACGGCTATGTATTTATGACGGGAGTGTTAAATAATACTTGCTATACAAGTATCATGCACCTAATGCGAACCAACGTAACAGTCTCCATTGAATTCTATCTAAATGATCTATCTTACAACAAGGCATTTTTATTTTATGCAGGGATTTCAATCATGTTTTCAACACCAAATCTGACTCCACACTTGGTCCAAAAATTGAAAAACTCAATGCAAAGCCATAAATCAATTGCTATCTACACTTAACCTATATGATGTATGGTGCATTCTATACTCTGGGACCAATGAATACACATATTTCTCTCCAACATACAATACTTATTCCCATTCCACCTAATTCATTATGAGAGACCCAGACCTTGACAAAGTTTTGTTTTTACATTCTTTATTTTTGGTGGTGCTTGATGTTCATAAAGTTGTCATCGTCACATAGAGATATCAGGTTATATAGGAGCACAAAGACATCAAAGATAACGTTATGTCAGAAGAACAGCACCATAAAACATAAGACTAGATAATCTAAAGGAACTCAAGATATGGGTTGAAAACAAGACCGTCATGTCGAGGTTCTGGGCAGGCCCTGAGTCAGTAAGCTTACAAGCAGTTAAGAAACACGAGCAAATTCTAAACACAGAGTAAGGGATGAGAAGAATAGTCAGATATTAGTATGATGAGCTATCAGGGTAGTAGGATGCCATAGCCGAGTTTAGCTAGGGGCTCAGGCGTTAAGCTTGTCTCCTAAGAGAGTAACCCTAACCAAGGGCGGGGTGGAAGCAAGGAAGCTTGCAGTGAATTGGTGGTTTCGCCACAATTACATATGGTCAAGTGGACGCTCATTGGAACTAATCTTCTGCAGTACGCCTGGAGGTTCATGAGTGTAGGTCAGATATTGTTGGGATTTAGTCAGTTGGGCTACGGAGCAATGGTACATAAAAACAAATGCAAGAGAGAAAACAAAAAATAGAATGTAACATTGAGCAGACATCTGCGCATTAATGAACATCAAGAGTAGTCAGGTGGTCGGTGAGGTTTCTTCTCCAGTCCTTGGCACAAAGGGTACTATGTTGGCAGGGTCCCAGAAATCTGGTGCCACCTCCTGGGTCGAAGTGGGTGCAGGCATAAAAAGTTCCAAAGCCATCAGGAAATCCAGTGCCTCTGATACCGAGTTAAGTTTCAGCATTGTCCTGTTATGTGTCACCAGCAGTGATCTTGTTGCCCCCATCTGTAAGCAAAGCCTGGGGAGCGTAACTCAAGCATGATGGTGTGAAGGGACGCCAATGCAGGGTATTTCTGGTCAGGTCTTGGTAAAAAGACAATTGTGAGTTCTCAAACGAGAATGGTGTTTTGCCCTTCAGTGCAGCCCAGAGTTTTCCCTTGTCTTGTGAGGATGCACAGAGGAGAATTAAATCACGTGGTGTAGTGGTGGGAGGTCTGCTTGCGTCAGGGAGTCCATATGCCCCATCCATGACAAATCTTCTAGCCATCTGAGTGGGTAGTACAGTGGCGATAAAGTGTCTTAAAAAGTAAGGTAGTTCCTCTGTTGTGATTTCAACTGGTATGCCTTGGATTTTAATGTGATTGAGTCTATGATGG